ATTATTAAGAAATTAAATTAAATTAAATTCTTTATCTTAATAATATAGATTTTAAAATTATTACTATTTTCGATAATAATTAAAATATAATTACTTTTATAATAAATATTTAATTTTATATTTAAATTAAATATATTTATTACGAGCGTACTTTTAATATATTTCTTATTTCTATAACTAGCGAGTCTTAACGAAGATATTCTTTATTATATTATATCTTCTTTTTATTTATATAATTCGATAGTCTTCTTATTCTATTCTATCTTATCTATACTAGTATCGTATCTATACTAGTTCTAATATTATAATAAGACTTCTTCGTATATCCCTCGACGAAGAGAATTAACGAGTTTTTTACTTTCTACTCGAAGTAAGCGATCGAGTCTAATAAAGAAAACGCTAGGTATTTCTACTATATAGAAACTCTTATATACATTATTCGAAAGAATCTATATTAGATAATCTACATTATTAATAATAGTCTAATCTATTAAAAAACGAGTCTCCTATATCGAATATAAGAAATTCTTCTCCGCTCTATTTCTCGTAAAAAGTCTATAACCGAATAATAAATTATCGATAAACTTTCTATTATTCGAAAAGATATTACTTAGAGTACTTATAGTCTTTATAACGACTTAATCGATTAAAAAAACGAGTATTATAGACCCCCGCGAAGAAATAATATTATTTCGAATATTATAGTTAAAATTCAATACTCGATATAGAGATCTATTATCTTTCTCGACTCGTATACGCCTTTATAATATCGAAGTTTCAGAGATCTCTTTATTTCACTCGATAGAGAAGCTTAATCAAAATCATTACTTTTATATTTATCTTCTCCGTCTTATTTTTATCTATATTTAATATATTATAAATTTTAACTTAAATTTATCTATATTAATATTAAGATATATATCTTTATATCGTCGATTATCTATATATTATAGCTAGCCCTTTCTTACTTATAAAGATCTATATATAAGATATTCGCCTTTAAATTCGCTACGACTTTATATATCGTAGATATAGCGATCTCTATCTATTAGAGATCTATACTAGCGATATTACGAAGTATTAAAGATATAAGATTAAAACTCGTCTAACATCTCTACTCCGCCTTAATCTTTATTTTCATTATTACTTACTTTATAAGATTTTAAAATACTTAAAGTAAATCGATATTAATTAATTTTATTATAAATTAGATAGCTACTTAATCTAAAATTATTAGATTTATTTATCTTTACGAGTATAAATTTAATATTATTCGATAAATAAAAAATAAGAATTTAAGATAAGCTTATCTATAATAATAATTATTTTCTTATTAATACTTTTAAAATTATCTATATTATAGCGAGACTTAAAGAAAAAGCTAGTTAGCACGTATCTATTAGACGACGATATCGCTTATACTCTATAGTCGATAATCTTCTAAATTATTTAAGTAACGTATATAAAATACTCGTTCTTAAGAGAATTTATTAATTAATATATATAAAAGAATAAGATAGAGCTAAGCTTGAAAACCTTAAATTTATATATATAGTTAATTATTAATTTAAGTTCGCTACGCTTTTTAATTAGATCGACTAATTTATCGCGAGTAAATAAATTAGCGTTTATAATTATCAAAATCTCGCCCTTCTACGCCTTCCTTATTAAAAAAATAGATATATATTATTAATATATAGAATTACTTTTTTATTTTCTATTAAAATTTTAAGATTTTTTTTTAAATTTTAAAACGCTATTTATGCTTTTCGAATTTTTAAGAATTCTAAAATTTAGTCTTATAATTATTAAAGCGTAAGGAATTTAAATATCGCTTATTAAAGTTCGCTTATTAAAGATCGCTTATCTACTTACTCGATAGCCCTAATTAAAAAAATAATTATGAATTTAATTTATAGGCCTTTACTCGTATATTTATAATAAAATAAGCTAAGAAAGTTAACTATTTCTTAAATTCTACGATAATCTTATTAAATATATCGAATATAATTTTAAGAATAATAGTCTTAATCTTCTTAGAAATAATAGTCTAATAAACGATATATGAAAGAAATCGAAACTTCGTTTATATAACTTAATTCGTCTAATAATAAGAGATTAAACTACGTCTTAGTTAAAGAAACGTATTATAAAAATATAGCTTAAATATTAATAATCTATTAAGAAATTTATCGAAAAGAAGATTAAAAGATTCGCGAAGTAATATATAAAAATAAAGATTAAGACTAACGTAAAGAAGAGTAAATACTTAATTATAACTCGTCTTATTTTTAATATATAGAGTTTAAGTCTTATTAAGATAGAGAATCTTATAAATAAGAATTAGACTTATATATAAAAGTATAGTAAATACTTTAAACTCGATATAAATTTCGATAAAGTATATAAGCTTAATTGCTAGGGCTTCCTATAATCGATATATAGAAATTATTTAATATTTTCAAAATAGCCCCATTTTTCACATTCGTAAATTAATTTCTTAGATACTTATTACTTAATAATAATCTCATATTAGACTTATTAAGTAGACTTTTCTTATTATCATATATCTAAAGATCTTTTAAAGTTATTATACGTCATCTATAGACCTTACTATCGCCGTCGATAGCCTTTATCGATATCGTCTATATAGTATCTTATAGAGAAACTTATATCAGATCATTTGATATTAATTTAAAGTCTTAGCGCCTACGGCTCGATTCGATTCAAGAGGTCTCGATTAATTACGTCGTATTATTTAATCGATATTCTATTCGCTTAGATATAGATTCGAGAATTACTACTATTTACCCCTACGTTAATAAATATATTTTTCGCTATATCTTATCGATTTTCTTTTAGCTAGACTCTTTATATACGTTTAAATTAGAACTAACGACGTCGCTATAATATAAGTAAAGAGAGTTATTATTATCTCTAATATCGCTTATAGAGAAAGGTACTATACTAAGAGTCTCGGATATAATTATTTCTTTACTGCTCTTATCATTTTTTTAGATATTTAGCGTATATATATACTTATTTTTCTATCTTTTCACTTATTAATTATGAGATATAATTTAATAAAGAAAGAGAGTAGTATTATAAGCGTATTCTTAATATATCTCTTAGTTCTATAGCTAGCGAATCTTAACGAAGGTATCTTCTATTATATTATATCTTCTTTTTATCTATATAGTTCGATAGTCTTATTATTCTATCTATCTTACTTATATTAATATCGTATCTATATTAATTCTAATAATATTAATATTATTTATTATTTTATATAAAAAAAGATTAATAATAGTATTATAAACGAGTAAAGGTCTATAAATTAAATTCATAATTTTTTTTTTAATTAGGGCTATCGAGTAAGTAGGTGAGCGAACTTTAATAAGCGATATTTAAATTCCTTACGCTTTAATAATTATAAGACTAAATTTCAAAATTCTTAAAAATTCGAAAAGCATAAATAGCGCTTTAAAAATTAAAAAAAAATCTTAAAATTTTAATAGAAAATAAAAAAGTAATTCTATATGTTAATAATATATATCTATTTTTTTAATAAGAGAGGTATAGGAGAGCGAGATTTTGATAGTTACGGACGCTAATTTATTTATTTATAATAATTTAATTAATCTAATTAAAGAGCGTAGCGAACTCGAATTAATAATTAATTATATATATAAATTTAAGATTTTTAAGCTTAGCTCTATCTTATTCTTTTATATATATTAATAATATATTTCTATTAATAAATAGATAGTTAATAAACTTATTAAAGCTCTTTATTTAAATAAATTTATTATTTTTTAAAATACTTTTAGAATAAAAGCTATATTTATTTATCTTTTAAATAATTACTAATTTTACTATTATCTTAAAAAATTAATTAATTTAATAATATCTAATAAAGAAGTTATTCTACTATATCTATATCTAGATTTAAAAAAAGTATTTATTATTATTTATAATAAAAAAGCTATTTTATTAATTTTTATATTATAAATAATTAATTTAAGCTATCTATCGAGTTAATATATTAAATTTAATACTTTATAAACTCGCTATTTTATATTAAAATAGCTATTTCTTTAACGCTATTATCGCTATTACTATTAAACTTTAAAAACTCTTTTAAAAAATCTATATTTATCTATTATTAGTATTTTAAGTATTATATCTCTAAATTATATCTTTAAATTATCGCTATTACTATTAAACTTTAAAAACTCTTTTAAAAAATCTATATTTATCTATTATTAATATTTTAAGTATTATATCTCTAAATTATATCTTTAAATTATCGTTATTAATTATTATTATTAAGAATTAATTATTTAAAACGATTTTATAAAAGTTTTATAATTAACGATATATAGCTAAAAGAATTTCTTTTAATTATTTTATTTAATTACTTTTATAAATATTCTTTAATTTTAATACGAAACTTGTAGGAAATGCTGTAACGAAAGAAATGCAAACTCATAGTTTCAAGCTCGCCGACCCACACGGATCGGGATTCTGATCATAGGGTCGCGAGTCTTGCTAATTGGACTAATTGTATGGCCCAGAGACAAGCCCCTCTTGTGATGTCAGAAATATCGAGCATCTCCACAACGATACTGTCAGCCGAGTCGCCAAATAAATTGTCGCCATGTCGGAAATGAAAGCTGGAGTCTTGACTGACTTACTAAGGCTTGATGGCTCTTACTTATTGATATCGAATGTTCAATCGAATCTGCACCATGCAAACAAAACAGCTAGATTCAGGCTGTTCGAGGCCGTATGCTAGCATATGATGGAAGCAGAAGCTGACATGGGCTTTTTGCGATTTAGAAAATCAAGGATGAGATTGGAAGGCGGCTGATCCTCGAACTCACTCGACCTCATAAATGATGGGATGACCTCTTATACACTACCACAGCTACACAGGAACGCGATGCACAGGCAGATATGAAAGGATACAATGAGATGTCGCTTATGAAAACTTCTTTTCACTCTTGCTCAGGCCTTGGAATTTCTTCCGTCCCGAAGACTTCTATCTTGATACGCTTGCTCTCAACACCTTGCCCTTCCAAATATCTCGCAATATCCGCCATGAGGTTTTCTGGACCGCAAATGTAATACTCTGCCCTTGGGTCATGGATGAAAATATCGTGGTCTGTATCTAATTTGTTCAAACTCATTCGTCCTGTAAAGTGATAGTCAACGCCTTCCACATCGTCCTGTCCGTGTTCTCTGATGAAGACGTGGCTTTGCACATTATCGTGCGTGTTAACGATGTTCTTGACATGATCCCTAAATGCTTGAACCCAGGGACTGCGACTTGCGTGCACCCAGGAAATCCTACGCTTTGAAGCTTTTGCGATGAGGGTGTTGAATGTGGAGAGATCCGGGGTCAGACCCACACCTGCGGATATTAGGACGATAGGTCCATCCGACGAATCTTGCTGACGAGTATCCAAGAAAAGATTTCCGGCGGGATGCGAGACTTCTACCGCATCCCCGACGTCCCTCTCATTGTGGAGGATGTTTAAAATGTAGCCAGGATGTGCTTTTGCATTGGGATCATCGAGATCCAGGGAATGCTCCTTCTTTATGGTAAAACGGTAGTAGTCGTGATATGGCGCATCGCCGAGGGAGTATTGCCGCGCTTGTAGGTAGTGAATGTCTGGGACAAGTGTCCGTATGGAGATGTATTGTCCAGGGAGGTACGACGGTAGTGGCTTTCCGTCGAGTGGCGCCAGGTGGAAGGAGGTTATTTCCGATGATTCGCGGGTTTTCTGGATGATTCGGAAACCGAACCAAGATCTCCAATAGCCCGCGTCTTCGAGCAGTTGGGCTTCGCGGTTGATCATTAAAATCGCCAGCTGCTGCTAAGCTACCGCCCACGCACCGTGAATGTCCGGCGTGAGAGCGTCTCCTAGGACTTTCTTCATGGCTTGGAGAAGGTAGCTGCCAACTAAGTCGCACTGCTTGGGTTGCACATAAAGAGAGGTGTGTTCTGGCTGATACGCTCCATCGCTGGGCTTAAGACCCCGAGATCATCGATATGTGCTGTGTAGGCGTACAGGCTGCCTGCAAGTGCAGCAGCTTGATGCCCGTTGAATTGATTTGGTTGATTGAAAACTATTCGACACGAAAGATTATTAATCGAAAACTCTAAGGATATTATAAATTTACCATTGTTCAGATCCGGAATCTCAGCTAACATGTTCTGGTATAAGCGAGTAGTGATTTCATTGCCATGTTCTTGGAGGACTGGGACTGTTGCTTTGATGAAATTGACTTGCCCTGGACGGAGTGACGACATGATTGGAGCGTTTGGGAAAGGATCTTGGTGGATGAAGTGTGATGAGAAAGAAAGTGTCACCAGTGTTTTCTCAACCATAGGAGAGCGCCGGGAGTGCAAAGAAGACGACCAATGACGGGTATCATTCAAGTGAATTGAATTCAACATGACGATGTGCCGGAAAAAGGAAAGACGGAGAAAAAGAAAAAAAGGACCTTTTCAGAGTGGGGTGAGATAGTTCTGCAAACTTGCAATCCAACCAGCTTGATCAGCGATCTATGCAAAGCGCTCATATGCTGTAATTAGTTTGTTTCGTGTTGCCTACGTGGATAAGAAGTCAGTCTAAAATCCACGTCTTACAACCGTACAGAATATGTAGGTGCATAAGTACCTAAGTCGTCAGATTCTATAACTGTTCCCGCTGGGGACCGAGGCGGGGACCCCCCGGAAGCTAACGAAGCGGCTTTGCGGCCCGTACTTTACTATCCATTAAAATGGCAAAAAAGTAAAGTAAACATCGTTCTCGAAGCTTGTCCTCTTCGAGCATCAGTGGTGTTCGATGAACTGCCATCCGTTAGAAGCGGTACACTCATCGGCAATGTATCGCTATCAATCATTCCCACCCGTGATTCTACTATGATGTATCTACTAACCAACGTTCGTCTGAGGTGATGGAGGACAAGCAAATCCCTCTGCAGCTGCCGCCTCAAAAAGATGGCATCCCGGGTTGCCAGCCTTACGCTACTCTCACTGATGGGACCCTACGGTCACGCCTTTCCCCAGCAGCTTCGAGCCATGCAGAGCCAGATACTGTGGAGGCCAGTAGCAGTAACAGCCCACAGCCGGTGACATTGAAAGTGGAGATAGACGATGGATCCACCAACAATGAAAAACTCACCGAGACCGTGACTTTTCCCCACCTATCCAATGATGCACCAACTTCCCCCAAGCAGACAGCCTATCATGCGCACTCAGACGGGGAGGACGAAGAGCGGGCAACCGCCAAGTCCTTCCCCAGGTCCACAAGTCCGGCCTCAGCAGCGCAACGAAACAGAGGCGCCGTCTACCAGAAGGTTGGCGAGGAGGGTGTATGTCAGATGCACAGATTCTCGTTGTATGAAACAGCAAGCCGCTACTACCTGGTGGGAGGTGATGTTGTGGATCGAAAATTCAGGATCTTAAAAATAGATCGGACTGCTGACTCCGGAGATCTGAGCATTGCTGAAGATGATATTGTGTATACCAAGAAAGAAATGAACCAGCTGTTGAATACGGTGGATGACGGGAACAGGGCCTCTGGAGGCTTGAAGCTCAAATGTAGCACTTGGGGTCTCCTTGGATTCATCAGGTTTACTGGTGCATACTACATGCTTGTCATCACCAAGAGAAGTCAGGTCGCCATGATTGGAGGCCACTACATTTATCAAGTTGACGGAACTGAACTCGTTTCCTTGACCATGTCCTCTTCATCTCGCTTCAAGGTAGACAGAGACGCAGAAGAAGCACGTTTCATTGGTATTCTTAGCAACCTTGATCTGTCACGTTCGTTTTACTTCAGTTATTCTTACGATATAACACGTACACTGCAACACAATATCGTCAGGGAGAGGCAGGCGATGCGACAGGGCAACGCAGATTCGTCCCTAAAGCACCGGAATTCTATGTTCGTTTGGAACCACCATTTGCTTAGCCCTGCATCGGAGGCCTTGAAGAATACCTACGATTGGTGTTTGCCAATAGTGCACGGTTTCGTAGACCAAGCTAGTAAACATGTCCTCCTGCCCGCGTGATCGCACTTCTAACGAATATCTCCTTAGCTCTATCCGTCTATGGACGAACTATCCATATCACCATCATTGCGAGACGGTCAAGGTTCTTCGCTGGTGCACGGTTTTTGAAGCGTGGTGCAAACGATCTGGCAAGCTGCAAGCGTTGCGATTGTCTAGTGAACAGCTAGCTAATATGCCTTCCAGGGATATGTCGCCAACGATGTCGAGACAGAACAAATTGTGTCAGAGATGTTGACAACCTCATTCCACGCACCGGGCCCCGAGTTATTCTGCAACCCAAACTATACGTCCTATGTGCAACATCGTGGAAGTATTCCATTGTATTGGACGCAGGACAATACTGGAGTGTCACCCAAACCAGACATCGAATGTAAGCGTCCCGCTGCATTCTCAACGCTTGACGCTAACTCCACAGTGAATCTCGTGGATCCTTTCTATGGTGCAGCAGCTCTTCACTTCGATAATCTCTTTGAGCGTTATGGGGCTCCAATATTCGTTCTCAATTTAGTCAAGGTAAGTTTTCCCAGAAGCTCAAGATTATTTTCTGCTTGGCTGACGGCTACAGTCTCGTGAGCGAACGCCTCGTGAATCGATTCTTCTTCGGGAGTACGGAAACGCAATATCATACCTGAACCAATTCTTGCCCACGGATAAAAAGATTCATTATAAGGCATGGGACATGAGCCGAGCTTCGAAAAGGTTAGTAATTCATTCTACATATGGACTGCTGGGAGGCTGAGCACTGTGGTCATCAGTCGAGATCAAGATGTTATTGGCACGCTGGAGTCGACCGCGGAAGATGTGATGACTCGAACAGGATTCTTTCGCAATGGCACTTACGAGTCTGGAGAGCTGAGCATGCAAAACGGGGTAGCAAGGACCAATTGCATCGACTGCCTCGACAGAACCAACGCCGCTCAATTTGTCATTGGTAAACGAGCTCTGGGCCACCAGCTGCATGCCCTGGGTATCATCAGCGATACCTCGATCGACTATGATACTGACGCTGTCAACCTTTTTACACACATGTAAGCTGTACCATTCCCAAAGCACAATCACGGCATCGCCCTGACAAGGGTTCTAGGTATCACGATCATGGCGACACTATCGCCATACAGTATGGCGGTTCTCATCTGGTAAATACTATGGAAACATATAGGAAAATTAATCAATGGACAAGCCATTCTCGAGACATGGTGGAAAGTTTCAAGCGCTATTATAACAACTCCTTCCTTGATAAACAACGACAGGAAGCGTACAATTTGTTCCTTGGAAATTACATATTCGTTCAGGGCCAGCCAATGCTGTGGGATCTTTCGACCGATTACTACCTTCACCATACAGATCCTCGCTCATGGTCCGGTTCAAGGCGGAAAAATTATATCCAGTGGTTCACCCCGGAGCATCTTGACGGACCGGCAATGCCCGAAGATACCAAGCCACAGGGTTACCTTTCTGGAAAACCACTCGGCTTTTTCGACGAGTATTGGTTTGAATACTACCGTCCTCTTGCATTATCATCTTTCCAAAAGATGTTCTCCTACAAGATGAACTCCACCCTCAGGTATATACCATTCAAATCGACCAAGGAAGGCAAGTACGATCTGAGTCCTTTCAGGGTCAGAGACGGTCATGAACACGCTTCACCCGACAAAGGACAGCAGAGGAAAGGGGTTACGATTACAGATCCTGGAGAGGAGATAAGTGAGCACCAAAGGACACAGCCTGCCTACAGTGTCCCGCAATCAAAGCGCGCTCTACCGTCTTGGCTGCAATCTCAGCTCGGCGAGCAACCACCGCCTCAGCATAGCATCTTAAAGAGTTCCCACGCCGAGAGCAAAGACGGCTCGTCACAAGTTGAAGCCGCGAAAGAGAAGAAGGCACTCAAAGACAAATCGGCCGTGACGCAATGGACTCTCGACCAATTCGTTACGAACTCGCTCAACCCTTCTGTGGCTGATACAGAGGCACATGAGTACCAACGCTACATCAGCCATCCCTTGAATCTTCCTCTTGTGGTAACGGCTGATGTGCCGCCGAACCCGAAATTAGAGTTCCTTGGCTATGTCAACAGCATCTCAGCAGATGCAGTGAACAGTATGCACTCGACAGATGACGATCTGGCAGACTATGCAGAGTTTCTTGACATTGGAGAAGACCCTCTGACTGTAACGGAAGCCGACACGGCAAAGAAGCGATACAAAGTCTATCGGCAATGGGTAAAAGGCAAATCGCTTTTCAAGCAGCGCGTGGATCCGTAGGACATCTTACACCCTGGAGACGAAATCACGATTTCTGCCATAAATTTAGCGTGGCGTTTCGTGCATTGGCATGGCGCTTGGGGTCGGTGTGCTTGGGAATCCGTGGTGAGCCCCAATACCATGGCGACGTAGCTTCTGTATTTTAGACCACCAATAGATCTCGAAGTCTGCTGTCGCTGTCAATCAGAGTTTGGTACTCCTCTACTAAAAGGACTTTCCCCATCAGTACGCATGTCAAAAGCTGCACCGCTCGTTCGATGCTCTCTTGCACTTGCTTGAGCTCCTGACATTGCGCCTCCTCAAATCCAATACGGCACCAGCAGACTGTCAAGCCTTTCAAGATCTCGCCCCTATGATGAGCAATGCGAGGCCAATCAGCGACAATGATCGTTTGTACTGCTTTCACAGAAGCTTGAAGCAGAGGCGGGTAGGCTGTAGCAAATGGTGCAGCCAAGATGCCAGTCAGCAAGGGAAGAACATGCTTGACAGTAGCGTCAGCGATACTTCAGTTCACAGGGGCTCACACAATACCTTTAGATGTTTGATAGATTCAACATCCAGCTCGTTCACAAGGACTGCCATTTCGTTGATTAAGAACTCTGCTATTTTAACATGCTCTCCAGCATACGCATACCCTTTCAATATCCCATTTCGAAGGATTTTGTCCAGTGCTTTGATTCTTGCAGGTTGATGCTTTTCATCAGGGAACCGGACAAAAGCCAAGGAGATCAGTGCGGGATAGGCTGCTTTCAGCAGCTGCAGAGATTCAGCTTCCTCTGTTAGTGACGGCAAGGACATTAGGCACGGCATTACGGCATTTTCGAATATTTCTCCGAGGCCGGTACGCTCTAGTAGCCGCGAAGGACACTTCTGAAGGAAAATGGCGAGGAAGCTGCAGCCTTTGACTTTGTACTTAGTTGAAGAGTCATCGATTAGTGCAAGAAGTGGGGGGATGATCAGTGGCCAGTTCGCCGGCACTGACGATTCCTGGCTTCTATATCAGCTAGAGTAAGCTTACGAATGGCTTAATGATGGTACGCACATCTAAATGGTTCAAACCCCATTGGAAAACAGTGACAATATAAGCATCGCGGTACTTCCAGGGTTTAGTTTCACCATCGAGATCACTATGAGCTGTAGCCGCGCTTGGAAGAGGATCAATGGCTTTCCGCCCCTGCTGTGTAATTGCCGGATTCTTGGTTTTTGCAAAGAGCGGTTTGACACGTGCCTGAAGTAGTCCAGTAAGTATAGTGGATAGATTTGCAGTAGCTGCGTAGTGTTCGGAGAGAACACATGCATGGTCCTTGGCTTCCGAATAGGTCCAAGGATCGTTCAGATCAGTGAATGATGCCAGGCATGTGAGAATGGTCACAACAGACTCGTCTTTTGACAGGGGCTCAATATTCTCTAAGCGAGACAATAGTAGTATGCCTGATAGGCTCATGGCATGATATTTGGCGACTTCATCAGGAGTGAGCGTTGCCTTTTGTTCTGTGATACATCGTATATCAGTCTCCGAGTATCGTATCATCGAACGAGACTAACTTATTGAATATGGCGAAGCCTCTGCAAAAGCTTCGGTGGGTAGGACAGCTCCAGCTACCCATTCGCGAAGAAAGATTGCTGCATCTTTGTCCGGGCGGTTGTGTCTATAGTCACGTTCAAGCTGGTTACCTTCCTCAGCGAGATACACGTTCAACACAATGATGTTTTCAAACAACTATTGCAGTACTGGTCAGTTTTTGCCTTAGGAATTGAGCAAAGTGAAGATCCTACTTGAGATGTAGATCTTGCTGAAGCTGAGACCTCAAGGTTCTCAACGAGAGACGCTAAGCCTGTGCTTCGGGCCTCTCTGGAAAGGAAGGCTCTGGGCAAAGCCGGCGTAGGGTGGATAGCGGTGATGGCTTGGATATGTCTCCGAGCAGCACTTTTCAAGTCCTCGAAATTCATGATCCAGCAATTATGTGGTAGACTGGGCAAAGATCATATCAAAAGCATTGTACGTGTAGAGAAAAGTGTCGCACAGGAGGCTTTAATTCTAAATCTAGTGTTTTCACAGACACTGAGAGCATTTGTTAGGTACTGATGGATGCTGTGTGAATCTAAGCTACTTAGCCAATGCTACATTGCTCTCCCCTCGCCAAAGTCTCTGCAATACCGCAACACCGGCGGCCTCATCTATCACATCCGGAGTTGCCATTTCTTTGCGGCGTGCACATCTTGCCCCATCCACGGGGCCCTGCCGGCATCAAAAAGTCTGCGTATCTACTCGCCAGGGATACAGTTCTCTCACTGCCAAAACCTTTCCAATGCCGTCCGCCACATTTGTCTTGTATGAATTGCGGAGCTGCCATTGCAATGCGACTGACAAAGCTTTCGCTGTCCACGTTGTCCTTGCCGGGTCCAAAAGCTTGCTGTATCTCTTCGCCGCTCCAATCGAAAGGACTTGTTCAGGGCGGGATGTTCAGCTCCTCCTTCCTTTCCAAAACCTCTGCGATAGCACCCGCAGCGTCCTTCCGGTCTGGGTTGCGAAGTTGCCATTTCATCACGCAATCCAAAGCTGCAGGCAGCCAGTTCCCACCTTTGCAATTGAAGGCTTCCATTAGCCCATCACCCTTCACGAGTAGCGGTGTTTCATATGCTTTCAGAAGGTTGAGTGATTGAAGTTGCAATAGCCACGAGGAGTATCCGTCCAAGACCGCCCGGGAATCAGTCACTGTCTTGGCCTCCGCAACTTCGGCTAGCAGAGCGTACATGGCACTACTTCGCCAGTTGGGTCCCCACTTGCGAATGGCCATTCCTTGCAATTCGCGTTGACTTTCAGCGCAGGCTCCCTGCTTCCGCTTTAAGGGTAGGGTCGTCGTCTGATCCTCGTGACTGACGGCGTTCTTCTTTTCGACAATGTCTTGCAGATGAGTGACAGCATCGTCAACAAGTTTGTAGATCTTGTTTTCGGCTTTGATACCTTCTCGTGCTGCAAGACCTGCCGCACTTATTGGTCGTTTGGAAGATTTCTGGGGAGACCTTGGAGGCTCCCTCGCCCAGGGAACAAAGCATGTCAGTATCCATGCATGGTAAAAATCCTCAGGGTTTTGTAATAAGATTGGTCGAATGGTCTTGAAAGATTCCGGAGAGGTTGATCCTTCTGATCCTGTCATAATGATGTCCCGTAGCTGGTTGTAGGTTTGACACCAGTTCGCAGTGTCAACCAACTTGCAGTCTGCAATAGTAGGATCAGTGAAGACTTCATTATACAAGCCAAGACGATCAATTAAAGATAGCGCTCTGTGAGGGCTTGGTCCTTCCAAAAAACAGAGCGATTGATGCGGTTCTGGCCACCCCAGCATCTTCAATATCTCGACACGCACTCTGTCGCGGGTGATCTTGAGTCTTAGTGCAGCTTTGATAGCACGATCCCTCATGGCCATCTCATCTTCGGGATCAATTTCATACATCAGGCGGCTCGCGAAGCGTATACTTCTCAGCACCCTCAAAGGGTCATCTTTGAACGTTTGCAAGGGTGCCAACGGTGTCTTGATGACTTTGCGTTTCATGTCTTGAAACCCTCTTCCAGTAAAGTCCTCTACTTTGGACGTTTCAAGGTTGTAGAACAGGGCGTTGATGGTCGAATCTCGACGAAGAGCGTCTTCTTTGGGGGTGCCAAATTCCACAGTAGGGTTGCGGCTGTCATTGGTATACGTTTCTTTGCGAAGGTTGACCAAGTCTATGTCAAAACCGAGAACCTTCATTGTAGCAGTCTCGAGATGCTTCGATTTTTCAGGGTTTGCTTCAATTTTGGCTAAGCGACCAAGAATGTTGTTTCCGTATTTATGCCGTGCTTCGGGCAGCTCCACGTATTGCTTCATTAGAGATCCAAACTCAGAGCCAGTCATATTGCTTATGGCAACATCGATGTCCTTGCTAGGTAAATTTAATAGCTTGTCTCGCACCCATCCTCCAGCGAATCTGAGTTCTGGCTTTTTGCGGTAATCCCCGAGTGTGACGAGGTAAGAGGATATGTCAAGGAACAACTGCCGCAATGTTGCCTCTTCCGGAGTCAGTTTGATACTCTTTTTCATGGTTGCTTGTCGCGAGTGGAGTCTCTTCGTGATCCTTAATACAAGACACCGTCGTTGAAAGAACTTACGCAGATGCATTCAGGACTGGAAATCATGTCTTGACAGTCATATCAAGCCATTTGTGACTCTCGTCAAGATTCCATTTGACTCATCAGTCAGGTGTTTAATATAAATAGTACACTAGAGGTGGTGGAGGGCCAGGCGGCTTTGCTCCGCACTTTTAGCGTGTTCAAAAAGATTGCGAAAGCTTGGCACTCACGTAAGGTAACCCTCCAATCTGATAGTACTTTCGCATTCTTTTTGAACACGCTAATTCAATCTTGGCTGTAACTTTGTAGAACCCAGCCCCGGCACAACGTCACTCTGTCCATCCAATATTAACCATGGCTGCCGTAGCAGCCCACGCTGGTGTCACCAATCCATCGAATCCTACGTGCTTAGCATCCGTCCTCTACCCTTCTTGAGCACATGGCTGATGAAGTTATAGGGTTTACGTTAGCATGCCTAGCCCAGCACAGTCGCGTTGCTTCAGCTCGAGATGACATGCACTGATGTATGATACAGGTTAAGAATTTGGAAGAACGTATCAAATTGGACCAGCTGAAAGAAGCTCTCACCGAAATCTTCTCTGAATACGGCAATGTCATCGAACTCGTCGCCAAGCCGAACCTCAAAGCCAAAGGCCAGGCTTTCGTAGTCTTTGACGAGACCGAAGCTGCCGAGCGGGCGATCAAGGAGGTCCAAGGGTTCGAGTTGTTTGATAAGCCTATGTTGCTGGACTATGCGAGAACAAAGAGCGATGCTACGGTGCAAAGAGAGGGACCCCCAGAAGCCTTCGAGGCACATAGGCGCCGGAGGCTGGCTGAAAAAGGTACGAACACGTGCACCGGCCCTTGATAGATTATGAACCAGCTGACCACCGCGACTACAGAGAGAAAGCAAGCGTACGAGTCTGCGGAAGCCCAGAAGAAATTGAAGCGTCCAGCAGCTGGTGCTCCTCCAGAAGCTGGCACTGCTCGGCCGGTCAAAGCTTCTCGCGGAGCTGGTCTCAAATCTTCGAATCCAGCAGCAGGCGCAGTCATACCAGAAGAGTACCTACCACCCAACAAGATTCTGTTCGTGCAGAATCTACCAGAGGACTATGGCGTGGACGGACTCACTGCAATATTTGGCAGGTTCGAAGGATTTAGGGAAGTGCGACTGGTGCCTGGGAGGAGAGGCATAGCTTTCGTTGAATACGAAGCTGAAGCAGGTGCTATTAGTGCGAAGGAGAATACTGCCGGGATGGCTCTGGGCGAGGAAGGCAAAGTGGTAAAGGTTGTGTATCAACGCCAGTGATGCAAAATCGAAAAAGTCTCGATCAACTGTGGAGCAGAAGTTTTGACCTCCTCTTGAAAAGCACGTGCAGTGCAAACGTGAGTGACCGATGTCCGACTAGGGAGAAACGCATCAGACAGACTAGACGGTTGATGCGATGTCTATATACCCTATTTCTACAAGCGCAAGCCATAATCGGGAAGCGTAAACCGCAACTCACCTGGACCATAGCAAGTGTCATGCGACCTAGAATATCACATCTTGATCTTCTTGTTCCCCTAGGATGTCGGTAGCTCCAGGATCGTCGGCATTCTCCTTGTCGCTTCCGCGCCTCTTGGATGCCTTCTCTTCCTGTTCTGCGGCATTGTTGTCTCGCTGCTTGTTGCTCTTGACCTTCTTCAGGCGGTAAAATTCCTCTCTGTCAAGTTCATCCAGCTCAGAATTGATATACTTGATGGTGTTCTCCGTGCGTGGTATGATAACGTGTTCGATTGCATTGACTCTCCTGTTGACGACCTTGATGACTTCGTCTAGGGTGACAAAAGCTGTCTGGGCGAAATGTTAGAGATATCTTCGACGATTCTCGGGTCTGGACACTGATGACTTACTTGCAAACTAGCGAGCTCTACCAGAGTTTCCACAGCTCTGGCGTATGTCTCTCTGCACCGCTGAACCTGCTGCCCTCCTTTCCCTAAACCTGTCAACCCGAAATCGTTGTTCCCTTCTGTCGTGTAGCTCTCGAATTGAGGTAGGAAAACTCCAGAAACGTTTTCCTGTTTCGTGCGGACTCTGAAGCGAGCTTGCTTCGCTGATTCCTGGATCTGATACCCAATGTCTCCGCCAACTGCATATGTGACCTCGGCTAGCGAGAAAGCCGCAATCTGCATCACACGGCCCATCTTCCTCTTTGCCTCGTCAATTCGTCTTGTGATCTCTGCTCGCTTTAGCCATCAAGTGTAGAGTCTAAATCTGGACGTAGCATACCTCGAAAGCGCCTGATAGAGCGTTAACGCTCAACTCGTGAAATGAATGGGCAAGACGTACTTTGTCAAGGCTTCGCTTTTTCTTTTGAGTAGACTATGCCCGGTCTCGGCGCCCTTAAGCTTGTTCTTCATAGCACCCAGGGACTGTCGCGTTGGGAAGACAGCTTCCCGATCCTGATGCAATCCGTATGATTAGTGAGTATTCTTGTATGCAGGTCCGATAGCCCCAATTGCCTACCCCAGCTCCAGACATCTTGGATGATGGTGGAATGTGACGTCGTGGCACCCAGTCGCTGAAGCAGTCAGGTAATTCGCGTAACGTGGGACAAAGACTTCAGGTGCAGACTCAGGAATGAACTGGATGATTGTGCGAACAAAATAGATAAAGAGGCAACAAGACGCAAGTGAGGTCGGGCAGCACTCGCCAATCATTTCGGTAACTTCACCACAGCTCGAGGTCGGCGAAATAGAGGCCGACTTTTTATAAGCGCAATGTACGGAGTAAGTTAGGTACAAATTATTCGAGTTTCAATGAGCACAAAATTCCTTCATCGCGTCAGCCACCGAAGCTCTTCAGCTTTGTGAGTTGGGCATGCCAGGCGTGAAACGGCCAATCATGGCAAACCTCGCTGCCCCGCCAAAAAGCTCCACACGGAGCTCAGACTCGTCTTTGTATCTCATCGTGAGTACGACCTCCACTGTACCGTGAATGGTGCCGCTGACTGGGATTTACAGTCCTCAGACGACGTCGTTTACGAGCAAGACATCCTGCGTGATCCTGGATCTATCAAACCCTGGTTGATCTACATTGACTACAAGCACCAGCATGGCACACTTCTCGAACAAGCCTTCGTACGTTGGAGCGTCTTTCTAAAGTCACGTGCACTGAGCTGATTGATCACAAAGATACTCGAGAGGGCTTGCATACAGCTGCCGCGTTCTTACAAACTTTGGAAAATGGTATGTCGCAATTGCAACGAATGAGGGTCTGTGAGGCTGATGTATCATACATAGTACCTGGAATTGCGGATCAAGCATCTTCGCAACAAAAATTCTGCGATATACTCGGCAGAGTACGCAAAGGTTAACGCACTTTTCGAGCGAGCACTGATTTTGCTGAACAAAATGCCGAAGATATGGGAAATGTACCTCTCTTTCTTGATGAAGCAGCCTCTTGTCACTCCCACGCGGCGCACTTTCGACAGAGCTTTACGAGCACTGCCAATTACGCAACATAACAGACTATGGGCCCTCTATAGACCTTTCGCCAACTCTGCGTCTGGAGATACAGCGATCAAGATCTGGAGGCGATACATGCAAATTCACCCAGAGGATAGCGAGGATTTCATAGAACTCTTGATAGAGAACGGCCGATACACCGAAGCTGTCAGAAAATACGTGGATATACTGAATAAACCCAAATTTCGAAGCAAGCACACGAAAAGCAACTTCCAGTTGTGGAGTGAAATGGTGGATCTTTTGGTCACACGAGCAAAGGAAATTGAGACAGGAGGCGATGTTGGCATGGATACTGAGAAAATTATACGCAGTGGCATAGAGAGATTTGCAGACCAACGCGGGAAGCTTTGGGCAGGGCTTGCAACGTACTGGATCACAAGGGGCAATTTTGAAAGAGCGCGGGATGTTTTTGAAGAAGGCATCACAACCGTTATGACTGTCCGAGATTTCACCATTGTCTTTGATTCCTACGCGGAGTTCGAGGAATCTATCATTAGTACCCTGATGGATGCTGCGGCCGTGCGGTCCGACAAGGGCAAGGTCAACGAGAATGCCGACTTTGACCTGGACATCCGAATGATGCGCTTCGAGCAACTTATGGATCGACGACCGTTCTTAGTGAACGATGTACTTTTGCGCCAAAATCCAAACAACGTCAATGAGTGGGAGAAAAGGGTGGTCCTCTGGGGAGACAACAAGAAGGAAGTGGTCCAAACTTACACGGATGCGATTGCGGCAGTGCAACCAAGGAAAGCCGTTGGCAAGTTTTATGGATTATGGCTGAATTATGCGAAGTTCTACGATGAGGGTGGAGACCTTCGCACCGCACGCATCATCACCGAGAAAGCTGTTAATGTGCCATTCAAGTCGGTGGCTGAGCTTGCAGAGATGTGGTGCGGTTGGGCCGAGATGGAGCTTAGGAACGAGAACTTTGATCGAGCTGTGGACATCATGGCGAAGGCCACCCAGGCGCCGAAAAGGTCCACAGTCGATTACTTCGACGAGACGCTTTCGCCGCAGCAGCGAGTCCACAAGAGCTGGAAGTTATGGAGCTTCTATGTGGATCTGGTGGAAAGCGTAAGCACCTTAGAAGAGACGAAGAAAGTCTACGAAAGGATCTTTGAACTTCGAATAGCCACTCCACAGACTGTGGTCAACTTTGCTAACCTAATGGAGGAAAACAAGTACTTCGAGGAATCTTTCAAAATCTATGAGCGCGGCTTGGATCTCTTCAACTACCCAGTCGCCTTTGAGTTGTGGAATCTATACCTGACAAAGGCGGTGGACCGCAAAATTGGGATTGAGAGATTGAGGGATCTGTTCGAGCAAGCTGTCGAAGGCTGCCCGCCCAAATTTGCGAAGGGTCTATACCTTATGTATGGAAGTTTAGAAGAGGAGCGCGGTCTCGCTCGGCACGCCATGCGAATCTACGAGAGGGCCACTCGCGCCGTGTCGGATGACGATAAGTTTGAGATGTTCAACTTCTATATCACGAAATCTGCCTCGAATTTCGGACTCACTTCAACACGTCCCATCTACGAGAGAGCCATTGCCGCGTTGCCCGACAAAGAAGCCCGTGAAATGTGTCTCAAATTCGCCGAGATGGAACGACGACTGGGTGAAATCGACAGAGCTCGAGCCATATATGGGCATGCTTCGCAGTTCTGCGATCCAAGAACTACCCCAACATTCTGGCACAAGTGGGAGGAATTCGAGGTGCAGCATGGCAACGAAGATACATTCAAGGAAATGCTTCGCATCAAGCGGAGTGTGCAAGCTCAGTACAACACCGATGTCAACTTCATTGCGTCACAAGCACTCGCGAGAAGTCAGCAAAGACCCGAAGACAGAGATAACGAGAATGGCGAAGGTGAATCAAATGAGCAAGCGGATGCGATGGCTACGCTGGCACGCCAAGCTCGTGCACCGGTGGGCTTTGTTGCCGCGAGCACTGGCCCCCAAGGCGGAAATATTCCTCCACCAAAGGAACCAGCGATGGCTGCCAACCCTGATGCGCTGGATGTCGATCTTGAGGATGAGTGAAGGATTGGATTAGAGAAGGAAGCAGCTCCAAGAACGCTGCGACCAAATGCACGTCGTAAGCATCACACGCGGCCAACCCCTGGAATGGAGTCAATGAAAGGAACAGAGACCACGTCAGGCAGCTCAAGCTGGTTAAATGGTCCATTGATCGCTCGCAAGACTATTGCGAAGTCCTCAATCGGCAAAAGTAGGCTTGCAATCTCATAAGCTGGCATGGCGCTTCCGGTCAGTGCAAGCTCTGGGAGTTTGTTGCTGGGACGGGAAATTCGCAGTTTGTGCTTTGACCTAAGAGTATCGAAGACACCACTCTTACGGTTTGTGCTGAGGGATAGATAGTGTGGTGGTAGGGCCTGATATTGCGGCAGAAACTGCTTAACTATGAATCCTTCGGCATTGGAAGCTCCAGGCCAGGCTGAAACAGATCTTCGATATGACACCACATATACGTCTCGCCTTGGACCATGAGGTAGAGTCCTTACACCTGTACTTCCTAGTTGTATGCAGAAATGAAGATTACAATCTCATCTATGGGAAAACATGGAGTATTAAAGTCCATGCGTGATTGACTAGCAATGCTTGAAAGGCACACGGGTGTTGATGCATAACAAGATCTTACACAAGCTGGATGGGTTTTTCGCCTCGGCGCACCCTTTCTAAAACTCCCACTAGAGAATGTTGACCTTTACGCAGCTCAGTCTAATTCTTCCTTTGGCTGCTCGACTGCTGGAGGAGGCTCTGCCTTCAAAGCTTGCTTTTGCGCTGCTGCTAGCTCAGCTGGCGCTTTGTCCTCGCTTTCAGGAGGCTTGGTCTCTGGCGGGGGAGCATTGACTTGAGGAAAAATCTCCGCAATCAGGTCCGGCAAAAATCTGTCCACTCGTTTACACGTCTCATCCCAGAGCTCGGTAGGTGGTGAGCCATCTGATGGTGGTTGGATGAAGCCACCGTCGGCCATAACCAGTAGTATATTCTTGAGACTTTCGGGAACAGCCTCTTCGAGGTTGTCCCCTTGGCCGCTATTCATTAAGCGATCCATTATGTCCAAAATTCGGAGCCACAGGTCTAGCATGCCGTCCCACTCCGACAACAGAACAAGATAGTGCAAGAAGATCTTGCAGAGCAGATTGGCAGCTTGTACCCTGGTATCGCTCATCCCAACAGGGTCTGTCTGGTAGATCTCCGGTCTGAGAAGCCGAGATATCAGTGGGAAGAGGACTTCCCCAAAGATTGCCGTCCATTCCTGATGGTCCGCAGATGCCAACTCCGGCGAGAGTAATGAGTTTTGCAGGCATGAAAACGCTTGGTGTCTGATTTCTCGACATGGGTTGAGACATTGAGAACGAAGGGCTTCGAATATGGGCGACCAATACGTCAACCATGCTAAACACGAATCAGCTGCATTGAAGACAGCTTTGAATGTCGGAAAAGTGTACCTTCTTTTCTCTCTAGATGAGACTGCTTGATGAGAGCGGGAACTCTGTTGGTCAACTGATAGATCATGACAACAGCTTGATACCCACGGTCAACGACTTCATTCTCGCTGCACCTCATCAGCATAAAACATGATCCACGATTGTAGAGTCAATTACCGAGGCTTGGCTGACTTCGTGGGCTTTTCCTTTCGTCGGGCGGTCTTGTCGCGCTTCTGTTCGACTACTGCTCCAACACTTCCCACAGCGGCGAAACCATTCAACAATGAGACAGTATCTTTATAGTTATCTGCGGTCACTGCAGCCTGCTGTCCGACCACCACCCTTGCCACTAGATCGAAAGCCTTACCTGCAGCGTCTGGCAACGTATGGAGGCTTCGTATTATAGACCAAAAATCGGGGGTATTGGTGACCTCATTTCTGAGCGGGCTGGGATCTCGGATGCAGAGTGTCAAGCCATTCAGAATGGGCATTGAGGCCTTCTCCAGGATTGCTTGGTCGTAGCCTGCAATAGTATGAAGTATGACGGGTGCGCGAACAAACGAGTGATCCTTCGAAACCTTTAGTGAGACCCTCTACAAACTCAAGTGGGGGCTTACCTGGCTTGCGTTCAAAAGGTAGAGGAGGTAGAAGACTGCTCGTGCCAGTATCAGAGGGTGTACGTTAGCGGCGTCTCTCACAACAATTTGAAGAGCGTCTGCCACAGCCTGACCCATCAGCGTAACGGACACATGGTCTCGCGTCGCCACTATTGTTGCCAATTCAAGTACGAACACCACCGACGGATCATATGCTGGTTTCAATGAATTTGCCCGATGACCGTTCGTCCTGGTAGGAGCAGGGCCACTTCTGTCCGGCCTTACAACGATAACAGCGGGCGAAGATGGCTCCGGCAATTGTTTGAGAAGAGCGCGAACGAGGCTTTGGCGACTTTGAGGTGGCATTGCCCTATAGATAGGTGAGCAGACTATATGTCCGCCTATGAGTATGGCACTTACAGAATCTTTGAGAATATTTTGGTCATCGGACACGAGTCAATGCAATCAACACTGCAAAGAGTGCTCTCAAGCTCCTCTTCGGATGGCTCAGGAGGGTCGTCCGCTGCATAGCTCGAGAGGAAAGAACTAAAAGTCTGGATAAGCCCGCCTTCACTACTGCGTTGTTCACGGTCAATGACTTGAGATGGCGGTTGCAGCGGTATTGGGGAAATATCGAGCAAGTCCTCAGACTTGGAGAAGGAAGGCGCCAAGAGCGAATTAGCGAATAAGTTGAGCCAGATGCGAACAATCTGTCCGAATGTTAGAGTCCAAAAAAAGGATGAACATCTATTCAACTCACGTGATCCCATCCGTTTCTGATCTTAGACTCCTTCCTTGGTACTAGCCGGAACAATACGGCACAAGCCAACTGAGCTTTGTAGTCCCGTCCAAATTTGACAGCAAGCTCACTAACCATGACGCTCTTCTTTTCGGCCTGAACCTCTGTATTGAGTGAGGTATTCGTAGGAACATCTGAAGCCAAGGAAGACATCGAGCTGAGACAAAATATTATGTGATCAAGGGCATCTGTAAGGTCATATTTAGCTGCAATTTGAGCGCACTGATCGAAACCGAGAACGACTCTAGAGAAGACGGCGTCGTCCGAGGCAGACATAAAAACATAAGACAGCGTTGCAACGATGGGTTTCCACGTTGCGCTGAACATGTCAGCGTCATAAATGTTCGTATTGCACATAGTCAAAGGTCCGGAGGTTCGCGCCTTGACAAGAAGCTCTTCCCAAGCATAATCGAAAGCTTGCTTATTATTATGTTCATCAGGAAGAATAATCTCGTTACTCTTGATGGAGTCGTATATCTCTTGGAGGTATTTAGGAGCGAAGTCTTTGTCCCCGTTGACTCCTCGTAGGTTCCTGGCAAAGTCGTTGTATGTCATCCGTTTGTCCTTCTTGACATTGGGATTATGCTGATCTGTATTCAACATGATGATCGCATAGGTAAGGACGAGTACAGCGTCTACGTTAGCGATACCTTCAGGCGTAGCATTGCCACAGTACTTCTCAGAGAAGACCGCCACGATCCGCTCGATGAGTGCCGATTCGCCCGGCAAACGGAATGAGTTCAACAGGTCTCTCAATGCTTCGTCCACCCTTTTGCCGGTAAAGTCGAACATGTCCAGAAATGCTCCTAGGAGGTGCCCATTAGACTTCTTTGAAAGATACTCACCAAGGACAGTCTTCGATATTCTCGTCGTGCCTCTGAGAAATGCGACAACTGACTGAGCGTCATCAGGATTGTCCACGATGCCATGCGAAGCTAGGAACGCAATTCCGGCCCGGGGGTTCTCATTGAACTTTGTAGCACCACGAATAATAATTCTCTTGCGAGCTCGCTGCTCTTGCAATCTCTTGATGTCAGGATAATCCTGGTATACTGGATTGTCATCTAGACGATCTGCAACAAATTGAACATATCCTAGCAGAGAGTCGAGACATAAAGGCGGTACGTTGGTGGTGCTCCATCGTGCCGAATCCGGGAATGCGTTTCGTGAAAGTAGGCCTATAAGGTCTTCGCACAGGTCGCTGCGATCGACCTCGCAATCGTAGTTGATGTAAAGCTCGACGAGATAACTGGGCATTCGGGATAGTGCGCCTATACTTTCCACCATGGCCTCTCTGGCGTCGGGCTTCCTTGAACCACCCTCTAGTCCGAGCTTTTGACGCTCTTTGATTGGCACTGGCGTCGATCGACCGCTGCCCGCCTGAGGAGAAGCTGCCGGTCTCACGAGCTTGGGGGTCTTTGGAACGCCTTCGTACAAAGCAGGATCGATGCCAAGCTCGTCCTCGATCTCGACTCTCGGATGAAGACAAGCGACTAGATAGGACAAGAACAGCTCTTGCTGCAATTTCAGCACTTCTCTACATGTTGCGAGCAGTGTTCCTGCGATTCGCAGTGACTCGTTTAGAAGTGCCATGTTCTCGGAACGCACTAATTGGAACAAGTAACGGCAGAGGTCGTCTTTTGCTAATGTCGCGAGGCTAGGGTGCTTAGCTATAGATGGTCCAGCCACTTCGAGAGCTACATCAATTATTCGGAGCGCCATCACTCTCAGAGTGTCACCGTGTTGGCGATTGTGGGGTTGCAAGAGATCGACAAGGACCCGGAAAAGTTCTCGGATCGATGGCAAAGAGTAGGGTTTGATGATAGCTGATTCGTCTGCATTCTGCTCGGAGTGCTGGGTGAGGTCTAACGCGCTTGCGCTCATCTGGGTGGCGTTCGAGTTTTCAGCACTGCTAGGTAGCGTTGGATTTAAAGCACCTGCATTTATCTGAGCAGAGGAACATTCCAGGTCTTCAGATAGCTGCTCGACGTTGTTGTGGCTTTCCGTAGTCTGCCTCGGGCCTCGGACAACGCCTGTCGAAGCCGAGCCATTGACTCCAGGGGCCGGTAGACCAACAGTGGTGCCATTCACAGCAGGATCGTTCATAACAACATTCGCGCTCTCTTCACCATCTGCTTCCAACACTCCGAGGTCTTCGCCAGCCTCGATTTCTAGAGATTTTAGGCGCTCGAAGATCGTTTGGCACATACTGATCATTGACATTTCCGCTTTCCGTCGCAGCAAATCGGACAAACGTGTCTGGCAGCACATGCTTAGACCCGTCTCCATCATCTCGCAGACGCTTTCATCCCCGAGCAGGTCACCTCCAGGGCCAGAAAGCATGCTTTCCATGAGTTCCAAGATTCCCAGGAGTACTATCTCGTCAGCTGCGGAATCACTCGCTTCAAAACGGCAGTGGGTAATAGCCGCGGAGAGTAGTTGCATCGCCAACGAAAGGCGGGGCGAATCTCTGTCTATGAGGTTATAGGCGAAAAACTTTGTTATGGCAACGATTGCAAGAGAAGTGATCGGAGCTGAAGTCGAGGAAGAGCGTATGACTTGGAGGAAAGGGTGAAGCAAGGAAGGAATATCGAAGCTCCTGATATCTATGCAAAGATTAGCTCTTTACGTAGGCCATCGTATGCTGCTATCCCTACCTGTGCAACCTCTGAGATCATTCCTTAGGCGGGCGAAAGCAGAAAGCAAAGGATTGTCTTGCATGCTCTTCCCTTTCTTTCCCCTAAGACCCCAACGACTGGCCAGACTGTCATCTTCCCCAACGGCGCCATTAGGCGTCCTTCCAGCCTGAGTCTGTGCAGTTCCCAAGCTCCTTTCGTTCTGCCTTGGAAGCCGACTGATATCACTTCCAGTGGCCATTGAGGGGCCGCCTCCCAGAATAGTAGAAACAGATGAATGCGCCCATCGAGCATGCTTTCTCATTGCCGAGGTGACCGTTATACACTCTGTAGTGATTAGAGCCACAGGATCCACAGCTATAGATATTTTTGTGTTGGCGGCAGCGGGCGTGTGCGTCTGGGGGAAACGCTCTTGTGCCATACTTCGAGCCGGCGTGGCCCTGATGGTTTGACTAGATATGCCTGTGTTGGGTCGAGTACTTGCGGGAGCCTCTTCATGCCAAGATCTGATGGTTCCCCCATGTCTCTCTGTATCACCGGTCATGCTCGCGTCCTAGACGCTGCTCTCTAGCACTTCTTCCTAGTCTATAAGTTGGTGCGGCTCATCCAGTTGCTGGTAAGATTAAGAGGCTTCCGCAGCACCTTCGATGAAAGACATCTCTGTTCCAGTCATACGCCTCCAAAGGGCATCATGAGAAAGCTCAGAGACACGATGAGTAAGGCGCTGCAATGTATCTGTCAAATGAAATGCCGAGCTTTATTTTCGGTCGACAAGCGCCAAGCATTTGTCGTAGAGTCCGCAAAAGAGTCCTCCGCCTGCAGCTTGGATGATACGGAGAGCACAGCAAGTTGCTTCGTTGTCCTCTTCGTAAAAGTTGGTATATTTGTCCTTGAAATTGTCTACACCTTATTATTGTCATACAGTTCTATCTATGCGGACGCCTTGCCTCTGCGAGATCCCCAAAAATAGCCGAGAGAAAGCCTTCAGATGGACGCCCCGTTCACGTCCTTCCCTCTATGCCACAAATCGAAACCAGATAGACGTAGAGAAAATCTCATCAAGTTCGTTACGCCGACAGTTCATTCCCGCGGCGTGTCCAATATTAAGGTCCGTACTACCGATATATTGATCTTTGCCAGAAATGGAAGCTATCGTTCATTGGCGATGCTAACGATTTCCTGACGACCGCAAGGCAGAAACGGTTCGCGGATTCCTCTCAGGAATGTGTAGCTGTAAAATCGAATAATGCGCTTCCGACCTTTGAAATCTAGGGGAGATTGGGTATCAGTTGTCTTTTCATGTATCCTTGACCACTTCAGCTTCCTCGACTTCCTTTTCATTCGCTGTGTCCTCGGTGTCCTTGACGTTTTTGGCGTTCTTTGTACCTTTCCCTTCTTTAGCATCAATTGCATCTTTGGTATCCTTTGCAACCTTGGAGTCTTTCGAGTCTTTCGAAGCAGCGCCTTCTGCGGTTTCCTTACCTGCCTGTGCGGCAGGGCCCTTCTCTTCTTGAGCAGCCATGGCGGCATCATGCTCTTTCCTGATCTGTTCCTCCTTCTGCGAGATACCATCAATTGCGTTCTTGTCTTTCTCCCATTGGCTGCCTTGGTCGTTGAACTCCTCTTTAATCTTCTTCATACGCTCCACTCGCTCCTTCTCCTCATTCTCACGGTTTCGCCGCTCTTGTTCCATTTCTTCCATGTGCCGGATATCGTCGACGCTTGGTTCGTAAAGATGCCAAACAGTGTAGTGGGGCAATCCGACAACTGAAAACTGCATTCTCTTTGCCATCTAGACTCGTTGTCAGCAATGTCATGAGATCAACACAGTCGGAGCCTACCTTGCCAAACCCTTCTGTTTCTGCATGCTTCTCAAAGCTGAAGGCTGGGAAATGAACCCCAGATCTGAAGACCTTCGCCTTTGCCAAAATGCTAACGCCTCCAACACCATCAATCTCCATCTCCATGTCCGGGTCGCCGTATGGGTCTCTTAGATATGCCAAATGTGGCCTCCAGGTCGCATACTCTGCATAACCTTCGACAATGACAGCATCCTCGTCAAGTGTATCGGCCAACGCTAGAGCTGTTTCCGACTCCTGCCAAGAATTCAAGTCGTACGGCTGCTCACCACCGAGCCAATCAGGCAGTGGCCGCCACACATCTATAGTCATCAGTCGAAGAACCATTGGCGAAGATGAAGACGATCACTCACTTGGTACGATGACGTCCTTGTTGTGCCGCATGAGGTCTTCCAAGATCGTGAATGGAGCAGTCTCCACATCTGCGTCCCTCCAGTAGACCCAGCTGTGGGTTGGCCGGAGTGCGGCACTCAGCAGCCAATTCCTTGCCTGAGCCATCAACTTCCTTCTGCTAGCTTGGGCTGCGAAACCATGTCGGCTCTCAACATCCTGATTGACTTTCTGCCCAAAATCCTTTTCTATTACCGATATCTCTCCAAAAGGTTGTTTCGGATCAGGGTCATTTTGTAAATCCGTTAGCATTTGAGACAGGAGTTGTAGGGTATTGTCTTTCGAATCGGACACCAGGAATGCCAAATCGACGAGATGATGTGGATAAGTGAAATTATGTAGATGCGAGAAGAACATTGGAAGATGAGATTCGGCGTCTCGTAGAGGTGCGCACATGAGGACTCTTTCCTCGTGCTCCCATCCCCTGGCGGTACCCCCAGATTCTGATAGGTCGTAGTACCGAACAGTCTCCAACTGCAGCTGCTCTACGTCGGAGCTTGACATAAGGCCAAGAGTCAGAACCGTCAAGAAAGTGGATCGTATTGAAGGGAAGAATATCAGCATGAGAAGCAGGGAAGAGCATCCAGCAATGCCCAACCGTATTAGAAGCTGCCTCCTTCGTCGTAGAGCTGGCTGGGACCGCGGCTGAAATCTAGGCGTAAAGAAGCCTATGTCAGCATCAGGTTCAGATATTCCATGCGCGCCGCCGGGGCGTGGCCGAGAAAATAGCTCTCTCTTACCTGTGAGGGGATATCGACAGATTACCACTCTCTCTAGACGAGTATCCTTTCTGCCCATTGACATAGGCATTATGCCTGTTCATCGTATCGACCGTACCGCTGTATCTCAGCAGGCCTTGAGAGGGTTAATAAAGAGCGATTGTGATGTTTAATTCTGAGTCGCAAGCCACCAAGGACAGAAGATGCGTAGCACGGTGGCCGTATCTTCTAGCGAACCGCTCTGACCACGTTTGACCACAATGAGAGCTTTCCGAAGGTACTGTGCCATACGGTCCGCAGATTCAACAGGTGTAGCTCACACAGTATCTGCCGAGCATAGGAGTCACCAAACACTGGAGAAGTAATGATTGAGGTGCTGGTGTTCGCACACGGAGAGAATTGCAATATATCTGGCTAGTCAAGAACCCCTGTCCTGTACCCTTGGCTTTCGATTCGCCGAGGCTTGGCGGTTCCCGCACTCGTGTGGAAATTTCACCTACAACAATCTTCTCGTTTTCACACTCCCAACCAAAGACACAAAACGTTCTCCTAACTGCTTCTTTATACCTTGAAAGTCCTAACGTATGGACCCTTGGAAAAGACGAAGCCGGACGTCACAGCAACTCGTGCAAGTACGAGGGATGGGGAGCTCACATCCAAGTATTGGCCCCAAGGGTTAATTGACCACTACGCAGACATCTGGCCTATCAATCATATCCTGGTCTCCCCGCTTTCTGATCTCAAGTCAACCGAGCTTTGACGCATCTTTGATCTCCGACCAACAAGGTAAGTTGCCCTTGTCGTTGTATTTGTGCCGGAGGCCTGCATTATGAGGAAACCCATCACACAAGTTCCGGCCATTCTTCCGTGAGCCATTGAACTACATGCACTACCATCTGAATATCTTTATCCCTGAATTTCTTGATATCTCGGCCACAGCTCGTTATGATCTCTGCTGACTATGCATAGTTCGGTTATGATAGTGGGGTCGAAGAAGAAACCAAGTGATAGGTACGTGTTTGCTCAGTGCACTTGCCTAAGCTTTATCCAACATAAACCCTACAAATGATGAGAAACAAATACATCAGTTCTGCTTCTGATTGATCTTGATGACAAAAAATCACCAAACTTACCATATTCTCTGATGCTGTTGCACATTACTATTTTTGTCCGCAAATGCCGAAGCTTGTACATTTCTACGGCTGACGTATAAATCAGGATTCGCCTGCTTGAGATGTACCGCGGCCCTGTATCAACGTTGATGTGAGTCTACCCCAGCATGGTCTTTAAGTGCAACGATGAGAAAAGTCAATCCATTCTATGAGTGCGTCTCCCGCCAAGCCAACCTCCCATACCGGACTAGGTCTTACGATCTGGGATGATCGGTTGTGGAGGCCTACGTTTCAGAGTCCCAGACCTATGTTGATTGTCTTAATCTTCATATTTCTGGAGCCGGTAGGCGACGCCTGACTAAACCGGCTTTTGACTGAGCACCCATGATCTTCTTTTAGCCTCGTGAGCGCCATTCAAGTCTCATATCGCTAATGAGTTCATTAGGGTGTGTGTGTGTGTGTGTAGATCCTACATCGGAGGGCCGTGCCTCTGTTCGTACCCCTTCCCATTGAAAGGCGTAGCCCAGAGTGCAACCGTTTTTACCCACTCGGCCTTACGGCCATGTCCGGCATCCGTACCCCATTTAAGGTACGGCAGATAATCGTGGTCCCGAGAACCACGGCTATGTACATTATGTTGGGAATTCCAAAGCCTCCATTGCAACCAGACACCATTACACTCTGCAATGTACCCCAAAGCTTTTTCCTCGTTTCTCCGGGCCGAGCTCTAGCCTCTCTGTTCTATGTACCCTCAGACACCCAGTACTCCATTGTATATCGTCACGTAAGAGAGAGAATAGTGACATTTGTCAAACCGAAGTCGAGAGCTCGCTTCGATTCCCGTAGGGATACGAGACCTAATCGAGGCCTATTCGCACGTCGATAGCTGGCTGGGAGGTATACGGCCATCACTTGTTACTCGCTGACTCCGCTGTCAAGGGGGTATTTTCCAAGCACATTAGATTCAGCTCTCTTGTCTGGTCTCTTTCCTGTAGAAAACCTCCATACAATTCTCGTAAACGAGCTCGACTCGTCTGTGGCCGGAGTCGGGTACTTGTAGTATTTAGGGAAGAGTTACCGATCAGCGAGGGAGGGAGGTATTATCCGACCGAGAGGGGTGGGGCTCGCCGTCATGTCGATAATACCGAATTCTTCGAGGGGGACGCGTTAACCCTCGATCTGACGCGTCTCGTTGTCCGATTTTCGCTCGTACGTAGTTGACCGTTGTCGTAATCGAAGAATCCGATCGTACACCCATGTGTAAATGTACGCTCCCTTGAGATCTCTTGGCTCCTCTGACGTGCCGGACCGTAAGTTTACGCCCACTGCAGCTGACGAGTCGGGACCCAATCAACGCGTAGCAGCTGCTAAACAGGTACAGAGCAGACTCCCGAAGGCATAGGAATCTTTGTCAGAGGGTTCGTAGCCGGCACCACGTACAGGTGGATCTCGTTGCCAGCCGAGTTCATTAGGGTAGCGACCGGCAAGCACCCTGGCGCTTCAGTTGTAAAGCCTCTCCCACCATGCGCCGGATGCTTATCTAAACTAAAACGTATGCGGAGTCCAAGGCAATAGAGCTTCAAGTATTGTTACCTTATTCTCAATCTAATTGCGGATTAAGGCCTCTGGCGGTATATGCCCTGATCGGGGGTGTTTTCGATGTGTATACTCTTGAAGTGTATCCTTCATTTTGGGGAAAATGCGAATTTGCACGACGGGAAACCCTAAGGTCGATCGCCTTAGTATGCAGCTTTCTTGTCTATAAGGTAATGACAATAAGCGGTGTCTGAATGAAAGAAAGGAGAGGGATGGAGGGGACTGTTTCACTCAGCGCAATTGGTTCAGGTCACCGCGAAGCAAAGCCAGCACCCTTCCCTCACACGAAAGATGTGGGTGATTTTTAGATGCCAATCACGTGTTTTAGGCTCTATCTCAGACGTCTGGTCTATGTAGATCTTCTCCTTCCGCAAGATCCGATTCCTTTCACATTGATACAGACAGGCATAACTAGTCCATAGACCATGACGCTGATTCATGACTCAACCCCGCCCTTTTCTTTCTGCCGTATTGACTCACTATTTTCGATTACTCTGACTCATGTTTCGGAATTTATGCTGTATACATAGGTCCACTCATTTCAGATGTTCTCGTCTGCTATGATTCTCGAGCCATTTGGTTTGACTCTTTTTCCGGTTCACTTCCAGCAACAGTACTGATACACCCTATTGATACCTCCGCGTATTTAGCCAGTAGCGAGGACATACGCCCTTGTGCTCGACTGTCACTGGACAATGGCTCTACTTGTCTGGCAAGAGAGTGTGGCAGAGCCCCTCAGTATCGATGTGAATCCTCCCACCCAAACCTCCTTCTTTGATGCCAAAAAGTTCTTCGCTGTGGATTCGGTTGGCAGTACCATGGGAGCTATATGCGAGCACAAGCCAAAGCTGTGGCAGCTTTCCACGGAAATCGCGGCGATAACGTGACAAAGTGGGACCATGAATGTGAAATGCCACAGATTCTAGACACTGTGATAGTACCTGCCAATTATTTCTCCGGCTCAGGTAGTACTTCGCCAGATACTATACTCCGACAACCGGCTGCAATAGAGTCCATACGGGATTCCGACCTCTGGGTTTTGATTACGGACAGGGAAATAGCCGAACAAAATGTCGCAGAGCTCGCTCGGTTGGCCGACGTCATGGAAGTAATCCATGTTCCCGCGGTTCTACTTATTTTTGGCGGAAAGTACGCATTTCCCGGCAACACCAATATCTCCGTTGGAATACCGTTCTTCGCGGTCGCTCGAGCGGCATTGATCCTGTTTAAGGACTATTCGACGGGGCGTCTATACTTGATGCGGCTAAAGGAGGGTTTGCTCCACTCACGAACGAAGATTTCCAAGGTTCATTCGATCTATCAAGCTGGGAATCACTTCCAGAATACCCAAACGAAGCTGCTTTTGTCAAGCGTTGTGGGAAATTGGCCATTAATCTGACACAACATGAAGGGCGAAGGTCTCCCACTAGAGCAGCTTCACTGGGACCTGAGTGGGATGCAGCTACCAATGCCCTAGTCAATGTTCCTGCATTGCTCGTCCAGCAACAAATCAGGCTTCAAGACCTACGCAACTTACTTGGGGAAGAAGCCATCTCTCAACTGGGACTCATATGCAAGACTCGCGGCCAGCTTGGCCAGCTACGGGATCTACTCCTTCGCCACAAGCAACAGCAAGTCATCGTACGGCTAGAGGATCGCCATGGGGCAAGAATGATAATGGAGAGAATCCAGACAGTATCGGGACATGAGGATAGACTTTTGCTCATGGATCAGCTTCGTGGTGCTCATGCCGCCAATCGGGCGACTTATCTGGACTTGCAGAATTCTCCGAGCGAGGAAAATCGGTTTGCTACCGAAATCAACAGGCTCATCAACCGAGGACTTTCCATAATTTCAGGTTTCGAGAAGTCCTCTTATACAGCCGATATCCTCAACCGCAAAAGTAACAGGGCCATGCGTTCAGAAGTATCGTCAGCTGAGGACTCTGAGATTCATCTACAAGCGCTGGATCTGTCCGATGATATCGAAGCTTTTCGCGGCATATGTCCAATCTGCTGCGGTGAAGAGCAGATCATGTCCGTGGTCCTCAAGAAACTTGATACCGTTGAAGAGAACACTACAGAATTCGCTCTGAACTTTCCCCTAGTGAGTCTGAATACATTCCCCTCCATGCGAAGACGGAGAACTTCTTCGCTAACTTCTCTTGGGGTGACAGGCTGCCGGGCAAGCGAAGCGGAACGCGAACATGATATGCAGTCAATGTATATGTTTCCAGTGTGCTCTTCCCTGCCCAAGGTCCATCTACCAAGAGAACATCGTGGCTACCATTCCTACGGTCTGCTACCGAGGCCCAAACAAGAAGTACATCAACCACCAGCTCACTCTTGCTATCACAGCTGGACTTGCTACCAGCGCATCGGGGGTATTACAGCTTTTCATGACGATAATCGAACGGACTCTGGAGACCAAGAACTGGTGCGCTAAAGATAGTGAAGATGCAGAGATCTCCTCTCGTCGACAGCTTTTGGACTGGACTCTTCGAAACCTTCTCCAGAGGTGCGAATCACGAGAAAATTTCAGTGAGACTGGACAATGGGTTGCCTATTCTCAGGCTCTTTTATGGGCCGTCTCGGATTACAATCAAGCACATCTTGACAGCTGGATCATCCAATACCCTCTAGCTGGCTTCAATCAAATGTTGAGATGGTACGAGTTGCTCAATTTGCCTATTGTCGCCGGGAGGATGGAGGCAATGCAGAAGGCGAAGCTCATTAACCTTGTCATCACCAACATCATGAACGGGCTCTTTCGCGAGAAGGACGGAGATAAATCATGGACGCACCCATTCTTGCAACTTGTATACCAAGGCTTCAACGCACCAAACGTGAGTGCACTTTTTGCAGCAAACCCCCCCCCCCCCGCCCCAAATTCGACACCATGTTTGAGTCCCAGGCACTGATTTGGGACTTAAATGTTCATGACGCTCCCCAACCTTGTTTTATTAAATTTTCTGCGTCAAAAAAATTCGTGCTTTACTGACTCCGGAATGTGCAGGTCCCACGAGATTTGGGTGGTCCAACATCCATTGTTTCGGCAGACAGGTTCTGGCCGAAACTGGAAGACGCATTGGGTCAGTGGCAGGAGATGAAGCGTTTCCTAGCAGGGTTCGACCATGCCAGTCGTCGAGACGTCACACCTCGTCTACAAGCCATCACGTTCTGGGCACTGTTTACACAGAAGGGTCATACCACACCAAAAACTTTCTTTGTAAACGTGAAGTTAAGAGAGCCGCTGGCACCAGCAGTGCTGAACCCAGAAGAATTCATTGCAGAAGGACCTATCTTCGATAAACTGACTTCAAGTTTTTTGCCAACCCGCAGGCTGGGTACGAGGCCCACCTTGGTGACGGAACAGTGATGCCTCCCTTCGTCAGTCCTTTCGGTCCTAGCGTCCTACACTGTGGGTAGCTGGGCTGCCCTGCCAAGTTTTACACTGAGGCAGACCTTCAATCAGAGCCCATTAATGCCCTTGCGATCCGTGCGCGTCGTGCGAACCACTTCAGCGAGGTATACGGAATCGGTAGCACTTTCAATTCCCAGACTGGCCTTCCGGACCTCACGCAAGCTCCAAAGGCTCCGGCATCATACAATACTTTGCAAATCAGCACGGCAAGAAGGTGGTCCCAGCTGGACCTGAAAAGGAAGCAAGCTATTTCCGAAGGCATATCCGGAGGCAACGAGCCAGCGATTGCAGCCTTTGTCAGGGAGGTCCGCCTGGAAATCTGTGCCAGAAACCACCGGGGCAACATTTACTCTGCAAGCATTGGGTACGAAATCCGGAGCATTCTACCAGGTTTCCTGGAAGCACTTCGCGTTGCTAGCGACAAGACGAGGCTAGAGGACAAGACAGGCATGGCCTTTGTGCATGATTTTAACCTGAAAAATACGATTCTTGCAAAAATCGAGTATGAGTTTTCGCTGTGATCTCTTCAGCTTTGTGTCGTTTACTTCGCATTGATGAGTAAAGGAATTCCTGTTGTTGATGATGTTAGGCTTCGTGCAGGCGCCTCTTCAACTGCTAGCTGCGAGCCTTGTGCTCACAACATGAACATGAATTGTCGTCTCCCTCGATCTGTCCCATTTTGTACAACAAGACCCTCGTCTTCTCCATCGGCCTTTGAGTCTTCAGCGGCCATCCTCCGATTCTTAATGTCTAGTATCCACCTGAGCGCTAATGCTAGAACCGCAACAGTCGCCATGAAGCACGCACAGATGGCCATGCCCTTCACATAATACGGCTGATCGCTATCTGGATACAAATGCACTCCAACCAAAGGTCCTAGTTGCCCGATGTAATTTAGCATGGCGACACCGGTGGCTTTCTTGGAATCCGAATCTTGGTTATTTATGGTCCAGGTGATAACGATCGTAACAACCGAGAAGAAACCCATAGCTGCGGGGTAGACGCCTATATAGCGCCATTTGGCGCTGGCCTCTACGGAACCCGCGATTGCCATCATTGCGTAGCCGAAGGAAGCGAGAAAAGCGTGGAAGATGACGAAGGCGCTGCGTGTGCGGTAACGGTCAGAGTAGTATGCTGTCGATAGGACGGTGAAGAAAGCAGCGAGGTAGGGTGGCGCGGAAAGAGCTTGTGAGGTGAGAGCCGAGTAGCCCATCCTAATCTATTAGAACGTAGCGTTAGGGGAGGAAGGGTTTGACATACTCCTTGATGATGGTTGGCAGAAAGACCGGCAAGGAACTGAAAGCTACGTTGGAGCAGAAAAACATTGCCTGCCGTCATCAATCAGCACACGCCAGATGTTTTAATTTTGAGACCATACAGCTGTAAGAAAACTCTTGGGATCAATGAGGGTCTCCCGGATTTCGCTCCACTTCAGACCCCCTTTCCCAGCTTCTCTCCCTGCGGTCTCCTTACGAAGTCGTAATTTAGCCACCTTCTGTTCCCTTCGAGTCAAGTATCTAGCTGTCTCAGGGTTGTCCGGTATGTACAGGAACACGAAAACTGCGACGAAAACACTAGGAAAGCCTTCCACTAGAAATAATAAGCGCCAGTCGGCGATAGGAACATGGTTCCCTATTTTGGTGATCACCCAGGCCAAGCTGCTGGCGAATGATGTGGCCAGTGGTGCCGCGGAGATGAACAGGCCGGTCCTGAAGGCCAATTCATCTGATTGGTAGAAGAACGACATGAAAAATGGAATACCAACAAATGCTGCCTCTCCTATCCCAAGGGCTGCCCGTAGAATGAATAAGGATATGAACGAGAAAGCCACAGATTGCATTGAGGCAATGAGACCCCATGATGCTACACATACAGAGACTGTGCGAATTGTCAACTCCAACTAAGAAGCGTAATTAAACGGTAGCATAGGGAATGAACATACGCACGGTAGATATGGGGGGGAAACACTTTCCACAACAGAGTCATCCATTCGAAAAGAATGTAAGTGATATAGAAAGCACGTAGTAGCCATTCATATTGCAATGAGCTTAGATGTAAATCCTCTGACAAACCGGCAATCCTCGCATTTCCAATATCTGGCCGCTGGTGAGCACAGAACAGTCAATGGGTCGTAAGAACGTACTGGATCGGTCGAGGAAGGAGAGCATGTACAAAAGAGCCACAAACAAGACCAATCGACGGTCGAACTTCCTGATGACGGATTTCTCTTCATCTGGGGTGTAAAGCATGGAGCTCTGCAGTGTCGAGGCGCTGGCTCTACGAGACCTCAGAAAGCTTGGGCTTTTCTCTTCCTCATCGCTGTGAGCTTCTTCAAACTCAGGATCAAACGTCGAACTCGAACATCTGGAACCGTTATGACTGCCAGTCAAGTCTTTCAGTTCGAAATTTCCTTCTAGATCTCCTTGCTTATTCGTATTTATGGCTGGACCGACCTCCAAACCCGAATCGGAACCCATTGGAGGTGAGTAGGTTCCTTCACATTTACCGACGGCATGTCGGGATCGGTTGTCATGGTGCAGCATGGCATATGACATTGCAAGCCACTCTTGGACTCGTAGAGATGCAGCATTTGCTGCTGTTCAAAGTCACACGACCGAGATACAGTGCAGAAAGAGATCAAGACGGCAATGCAACGCAGAGCTTTCCCTCAGAGTTGGGGTGATAAAAAAAGCCCTGACATTAGAAGTATAGAAATGTTCGAAATACATAACGAAGACGGGGTCGTAAGAACTAGTTTCAGCTTTCTGCCTTTTGCATGGAGATAAATATGCGGGGATAAGCCCGCGGCTAGCGTATAAATCCAGGCACGAGTCGCGGATATTTGGATACCCAGGTTTTGACGTGAAGCCAAGAGTGCTGGTAGCATGACGGACAGACGTCGCATCAATGGTCCCCTAGGTGGTACCGCGCCCCCAGTCTTTGTTTCCTCTCTGACTAGCAAGACTACTTCTCCTGCAAAGCGTACAAGGGCACCCGATGAGCTCAGGAAAATCTGTGGGTTCTGCACGACGATTCCTATTCACAACGAACTGTGATTTGGCCAATATCTTGTACTGATGCTTGCGTGGAATTCAGTTCTTAAGACCGGCTTGACACCATCAGCGTCCGGTTCCGCATATTTCGAACTCGAACCATCCACACCGACTGCAGCGAGCGAATCCCTCGCAAGTAAAGCACCTGCCCTCAAACTCACATGCACTGTGCACGGCCCTCGACCTCTTCCCCGATCTGCACCCTTTTCGCCCCAACTCCTACTCTCCACACGTATCAAGTTTGCACCTTTCGCGGCTCGACAACGGAGAGGTTACATTCCTAACGTTGGCGAACGAGATCTTGCCGCTCACCTTGAGACTGCGCTTCGAGGAGTCCTGATCGGCGAGAGATGGCCAAAGAGCGGGATCGACGTCGTTATCACAGTCTTGGAAGGCGAAGAAGATAATTCGTGGAACAAAGGTCAATCGGGTGAAAGTGGGCGAACAGGCGGCTGGGGGATGATGTCTATTCTGTCTGGCTGCATCACTGTGGCCTCTGCTGCCATCATTGATGCAGGAATCGATTGTATTGACCTTGTCACTGGCGGTGTGGCTGCCGTTGTTCGCCAACCTACTGCTCCTCCACAAGTGTTCCTGGATCCTTGCCCTTCGGACCATGAAGAAATCTTTGCAGCTTGCGTGATAGGCTATCTACAGACTCGGGATGAAATAACAGAGTTATGGACCAAAAGAAGCATCATGGCATCAACAGATGGCAACAGGGCCAATACTATGGAATTTGAGCCTCTTGTAGACCAAGCCGTGGAGGCAGCTGTGGCTGCTCGCTTGGTGCTAATAGAGGCCATCAAAGAGTCTACGGAAGTCAAGGTCCAAACAAGCCAGTTTGGCCATCCGAAGAACGCTGCTAGCTGAACGCTACATTCCTGTTGTGCGAAAGAAATAATGCAAATTATATCGGTAGCACGTTACGTCGCTGCCGAGCAAGTCTCTAAATAATCAAGAGTCGATCCTCAACCACTCCACGGTTGCAACCCTTTCTCATAGACAGCTTTCGAAAACGGAGTGTTAATGGGACCAAAGCCTCAGAACCTATGGAGCTTCTCGAAGCCAATGGTGTGGCCGCAGTCTTCCACATCTACGCTGAGTAAATCCCAGATGCTTGTCCGGCGGTCTGCTGCCTTCTTGCTCTGTCCAAGTTCAGGCATCCCCAAGCTCTCAGATCTCCCTGTCACGCAATATCCTCGACAGCCATAAGTGTCCTCCAGCTATCAGTCGCTGCTGGCTGGAAGAAATCGTCATAATGTTCAGATCCTTAGCCGGTACAAGGATTTGCCAGAGTTTTCGTGCATTCCAGATGATCGAAACACACGGAACTTTTTCTCCGTGTAGGAAAGACAAGATCGAGGATGCATGGACCAAGAGGGAGAGACGCGTGGATGGAATCTACGCTGGTGATGCAAAAGCTAACGTTGTATTAAAAGCTCGGTAACAGGAAGGAATTAGTATCAGAGGCGCCTGGTGCCGTAATGGGAAAAGACGAAAGAAGTCGTGTGTAGGGTGCTTGGGGTTCCAAGCTTTGAAATGGTCACCAAAAGGATCAGCTTCTTGTTGAAGGGTAGTCCTTGTATTCAAAATGTCACAAGTCTCGTTTCATTTGGATCTTTGAAGTCTCCATGCCTTTGAGCATTGTCTAAAATACCTAGATTCTTGGCGGGAGAACACCAGAAATAAGGTATTAGCAATTGAGGCTAGAGGCTAGAGGCTAGCCCTGATTTGAGTCACAATTGGTAGATAGGGCTGAATGACGGCTTCGACCAGCGTCCAGCTCTCACTCTACTCCGCATGACGGAATCGGCTCGGCAATATAAATGGGGCGACCGCACCGAAGAGCACACCCAATCCACCCAGCTCCCACCCGATAAAAAACCAACCAACCCAACACCGAGCCGCCGGGCACAGCCGGTCCCCACCCATCAAACCACCCATCATCCCAACGCCGCGGGGGGGGAAAAACTGCGACAAGCGAAGAGCACAGTGTGCGGCTGTTCCCGCCACGAGCAGGCCCAGACACAGCGGGGGACGGCCCAGGCGGCCCGGGGGGGGGGCTCTCACGCGCGCGAAGTCCACCGACTCCACCACGGCGCGACCAAACATACCCGCGGGGACAGGACCAACTGTTGCAAAGCCCCGCCGCGCATTTCTTGATTCGTCCCAACAGGAGGTGTCCGCCGGAACAGGCTATATAATGTCAGGACCAGCAAGGGCGAACAGTAGAGGAGAAGGAAAAAGGCACCGAACTAAGGAAAGGCAATAAGTAGGATGCCTCCGCCAAGGCCCAGCCAAGGGTGTCAAGGGACGCTCGAACACTACCCCCCTCTCAAAGCCAGGCCCCCAGGCTGGGACCGAGATGCACGCCCACGCTGCCCTGTGTCTCCAAACACCAAGCCTGAGGCCCGACCGGAGAAGATTTCCAGGTTAGTGGATGCCGGGCCGCAGGGTGACCCACCCAGCCTCCAGAGATCCCGGAGATATAGCCACATCTGCCTGCGTACCAGCAAGATTCTCCGAGTTCTTCTCCGCCCAGTCTCTTGCCATAGTCCTCCACTTTTCGCCTCAACACCTACGGCAGCCCGGCCTGGGAGCTTCACTGTAGATTTGCCCTGCGTCTCCCATGCTCTTGCCATCAAGTCCATCGGTAGAACTGAAGAAAATCCAACGCATGCATGTGTCATCCTCCAACACCTGTTGGCAGCCTGGCCTGGGAGCTTCACTGTAGATTTGCCCTGTGTCTCCCATGCTCTTGCCATCAAGAATCCATCCTCCGTTCCATCTCGTCGATTCGTTGGTTTGGTAGGGAGGTAGGAAAGAATCGAATATGTTGAATGCCATTTGGTAGCAGGCTCACTATGTGTGTTGTCGACATGCTCAGTGAAGAGGTCGATGTATCTTTGCCGGGTCTGTTCCCGTCGCCATTGTAGCAGGCTCACTATGTGTGTTGTCGACATGCCAGAAGGTCGTAGTTTGCTGCCATTGTAGCAGGCTCACTGTCAGTGTGGGTTTGTGACGATTTCTTTCTATTATCAATTCGCCAGTCGTACGAATAGTCCCTGTGCCTTATTTATCCCTCGCCCACAGTTTTGGCGAGTCCGATTCCTATGAAATCGAGTTACCCGTCTGGTGGGCTTCCCAGGGAACGATGGCTCAACTTGGTTTCTCCAAAGCCCCGCCAGCGCGTTTCTTTGAATTCGTCCGCTAATCCGAATGGAAGGGGTAGGTCTTGGTAGCTGTTTAGTCACTCTGCTATCCTCGAGTATGTGACTGGGAACCCAGTTACATCTTGTTTGTTTAAGTTTCTCTTCGCCGGGTGGGGGTATGAAGGAGCCTTATTATAATGTCAGGACTAGTATAGATACGATACCAGTATGGGTGAGGTAAACAGGATAATAAGGCTACGAACTATGTATGTGAAGAGGCATGATATAGTAGAATGCCTCCGCCAAGGCCCCAGCCATAGGGCTAGTGGTGTGTCAAGGGTACGCCCGTAACATGATAGAGTCCGAATCTGAGACACGCCCCAAACATATATCACAACCCAGTGGGTAACATATAACCTATCTCCACGACCGGTAAATATGGGATACCAGGCAACTTCTCCAGCGCCGGCGCTCACTCGATCTACTAACTTTTTTTAAAAAAATTTTAAAAAAATTAAAAAATTCATATTTTTTCCCCGCGTACGACCAGGGGCATTTGTCCCAAACGTCGTGCGGGCGGCTCTCCTCGCTCTTATCAGGCATCGGTGCGCGGCGGGCGGTTGCCAGACTCCAATAGTACCTGCATACTCTGTCAGCAATATTAAGCCCTGAGCACTACTAGTCCCATACCGCACAGAGTAATTCACTTAGTATGAAGTCACTGTCTTCAACATACCGCAGCCTGGCTAGGCAATACCTCATATCGAGGTCCCAGATAAAAAGCACCACCAGAGCTCGACCATTAAGTACGACACCTCCAAACCTAACTAAGAATCGCATATACGATCCGTAAGTATGTCGCCCGTCAATGTGTCGCTATCTCCCCTCATGGGCTTCCGGACAACTACTCAAAGCTGATATCGACATCATAGGATTCGCTCGCCCTCGGACTTTGACACTTTGATTCTTCTCTCTGCATCAAATCGCACTGCATTGATCACTCTTTGGACTGCTTCCTGGTGCCCCTCATGCCGTATGGTGGCGCCTCTCATACGGCAACTGATAGAGGAAGAAGGGGCGGGCGAGGAAAGAGGAGGCGTGGGCTATGCAGAGATTGAATTCGATTCCCCTACTCTGGGAGACGTTGCAGGCCGGTACTGACTTGAACCCTTTTCTCCAGATCAAGGCCGCAGTCTTTGTATGTACTGATCGAGAAATAGATACACGGTGTGTAATCGCTTGGAGACCTCAACAAAGGTACTTGACAGAGGACAAAGGCGTTAATGGGTATATATAGATTACGAGTATTCCAACCCTGTTGGCCTTCAGTAGACAGGAAGCGCAGCTACAAACGAGGCTCACCAATGTCGAGGAAATGAAAGACAAAGACTTTCTGCGTCTGTGGATTGAGGATGAGGCCATAAGAGGAGAAAGTGGAGGCAAGGGAGGCGGACTGTTTGGAGGACTCTTCGGGCTGCCGCTGAAGTAGGAAAGAAGGATGTCGCGAGACCGCGAAAACTGGATGCGTTTTTCCAGGCCCAGTGTATCCATGGGTAAGATTCTTGGAAGATGTAGCCTTGGAATAAGCGTGCTTTCTCTCAAAGAACAGAGTCGCTTACAACATAATGGCAGAGTGTTCTTGGTACGGATTATGCGCCTGGCTTTCCGCAGCCGCCAGACGTATGAGCGGGTCTGGTCGACACTGAAGCGCTCTGGTCTCTACCATGTCCAATCTTGGAGAAGAGAAAGAAAGCGCCCTCATTAGGCGCAAATTATGATTGGGAGCGTGAAGCAACGGCGTATTGCATCTGGCGCGATTCTCTTTTCTCTCCGCAAACAAAGACGATCTCTATCCCGGGACAATCAATCCTCAGGATTTGCTACTATCACAGTCTAAAATGCGTTCCCTGTTATACACTTTGCGCCTTGCTGGCTTTTTCGTTGGTTTGTCGTGCATGTCAGGCTCTACATTAGAGATCACAGCTATTGCATCGGTCACAGCCGGTCCATATCCCAAGCTGCCTGATGTTGTAGAATGTGCGCCAGAGTATGGAGAGAATCTTGACAAACACGCTTGCTATAAGGCTTTACAGACCATGCCAGATGGCCGTCGATTTTCGCAATTCGTGTCGCGTAAGAGATATCATGGCCAGGAGGCCCTCATAACTCCGGTCTACTACTACGATAATAATAGTAAGTCTTTGGACCGTCCAGACTTCGATTCAGTCAGGCAGTGACCGTCGTTGAGCGAAAAGTCGTTCCCGAGAGACTAACGACACGATCCTGAAGCACACCCATTCGAGGCTTCATGCGTGATTACGGTAGACCTGGCAGGTCGATCCAACACCGACAATAATGTATATATTAGGAAGAGGTAAACTATTTTCCGAAGCATGTCCTGGTCCTTCGATACTGAAAGAACCGCAGTACCTTGAGGGAATTGGTGGGTCAAGTGAACGCGAGCTGCATCATCGACAACTTTGGACGGGGTGGATTTATCACGTATAAACTCGAAAACACCATCGAGGGGGTTTCGAAGTATAAGAAAGTACCTGCTGGCTACAATACCCCTCTTTTCTTGACCGTGCAGGTTTCCCCGAGGCAAGGCAGAGGGAGACCTGGCGACACAGACCCTCGAGTCAACGAAGCGGTACAAAATGGCTTGCTTGAATCAATACCACCGATTGTGTTCAAGGTGAACCGTGCCAAAATATTCGTGATAGTCAACGCACTCAAAGAAATTTACAAGCGCATGAGGATCGGAGGAACTCAAGCCTGGTGGGATAGTAGGAACATCACTAACTCTATACCTGAGAACGTGAGTACTATCTAGAAATTTCACGCTTCTCAAATTGCGGGAACGGGCAGAGTTGATCTCCAAACAGGTAGATTACAACTGTTATGGAAGTGAAGGGTCGCCGAGGCCCCGCGACTGTGAAGATGCCTCTTTCACATTCGTGGGAGAAGGAAATGTAATAGTAGGCCCTAAGGAACCGCTCATCAAGCAAGTTGGTATGAAAACCAACGACATACTTCTGCTCCTGCCGAACTCTAATCTGAACAGGTAACTGTAAGATTGAAGTCAGCAGTAAGCAGCGCCATGGTAGGTGATTTCGGAGTCCATCTTTCCCCCTTTGGACCAAACCTTGAGTCTTGAGACATGTCTTGGGAGGTTCTACTCTGTAGACATGTTCCAAGGCTCAATGCAACCCCTCGAATAGCAATACTGACGCCGGAATTACAATCCAGCATGCACATTGGACGTTCTTCGAGCTACGATCGATGTACTGTTGGGTACCTGTCTGGATGGCCCTCAAGCGATTGGCCTTGGTGGGGTAGCTTCAGCGCGACCATTTGACGCGAATGATCCTACGACCTTGCTCGGGAGACAATGTCAGTGCATCGCCTCGAAATATACTAATGATTCTAAACCCGGAATGCAGCTATTGAATACCAAAACATCACGAAACTCGGAGTGGGGCCGCCCCTGCCACCGACGTTCGAAATCGAGATATCCAAAGCCCGTCCCCTCCCACCATCCTTCCCACCAGCACCTCTATGTGATGCATCTACCAAACCTGATAACAGCACTGATGGTTGCATTGGCCACCATGGCTCGCTCATAAACAGCACCAGCAGCAACGGGGGTCTCCTCATAAGCAATCAAACAGGAGCTGTTGCCCGTCTTCTTCCTCTTGCAATGGACCCAGATGTTACTTCGTAAAAGCAATGCCTTTAGAGGTAAGGGAGGGAACAGGATCTGGTAGACGTGGGCTTCCTTCTGGTAAAAAGCGATTTCTGAACTATCAAGATATTTGTATAGCAAATTAAGATCCTTATTGAGCTGATAGGAACGCCGTCCATGCAAATGCCCGCTCCGTTCAAATGCCAAACAATCCGAGGCCGTCGTATGCAACTGTCAAATCCCAATTCTGTTCTCATGGCACTGTACTAATACCGGCCTCCTCTTGGACCCTTTTCACCACCCCTTGTAGAGCCGCACAAGCTGGACTGAGCGGGAAGTTGTCAAAGAAGCTCTCCCCATAATCACATGCCATACCAATCCTTGGATCTAAAGGGACTGCCCCAAGGAAGGGAATGCCTGTCTCTTTTGCCAGCTTCCTTGCCCCACCAGTCGTAGCTTTGAAGATCTGATTCTGATGTTTGCAGCTCGGACACACGAAGCCCGACATGTTCTCAACGATACCTAGTACTTTAATACCTGCCTTCCTACAGAAGTCGATCTCTTTTCGTACATCCAACAGACTAACCTCTTGCGGCGTTGTCACCACAACTGCGCCATCGACTCCGGATTCTTTCAAATAGGAATTGACACTTAGATGCTCGTCACTCGTTCCGGGTGGAGTGTCCACGAGCAGGTAGTCCATTTCGCCCCATTCGACGTCTTTCAAGAATTGCTTAATCAGTCCATTCTTCTTTGGGCCTCGCCATATCACGGCATCATCTCTGGATGGCAGCATGAACTGTATGCTCATCACTCCCAAGTTGTCCGCGACCCACACAGGACTCCACCCAGCATTACTGACATGAATCGTCTCAGCTTCTACCCCCATCATTTTCGGTATACTGGGTCCACAGATATCCGTATCCATTATACCGACCATATTGCTTTCATCTGCAGCGAAAGCGTGTGCTAGCATTGTCGTGAATGTAGATTTTCCCACCCCGCCTTTGCCACTGAGGACCAAGATTTTGTGTTTGATGCCGGAGAGACGGGAGGTGATGAGAGGGATGTCAGGGTCAGGACCTTTTGGAGTAGAAGCGCAGATGCTTTGGTTAGGACAGCCGGCGCAGGCATCACCTTTGCCTGCGAGTTTGGACTCTGGGCCTGGGCAATGTTCTGGTTCAGGGGCAACGAGGGAGGGGTGGTTCTTCAGCGGGGCGGAGAGATCGACCTGGATAGGCTCTTCCAATGTGGTTGTCCTGGTGGAAGACATGATTCACCGAGTGTATGAACGAGGGTTCGACGGCGGAGTATTTGTGTCAAGATGCATAGCAAGAAAAAAAAAAGTCTCAAAAATTTATGATGGAGGGCCAGTAGTGATTTGTAAGGCTGCAGAGACGGAAAATGCAATCAGTACGGTGCCGGGCGGCGGACTCCCTCCCTTATCAGAATATAAAAAAAAAAAAAAAATAAAAAAAAAAAATTAAAAAAAAAAAATAAAAATTCCTTTACCTCTCAACATCAAATTACTATCATATATTTCATTATATATCTCTACCTCTTATTACTCTTACTACCTCTATATCTACTACACTCCTAAAATCATTATTTATTTTTATTCTACTCTATATATATTTTACCATACTATATACTATATATTTTACTCTTCCTTAATCATTACTCTTCCTTCTCTTTTTACCCTCTAATAATTTTATACCTTTAACTTTACAACTAAAATTCATTCTGCTGTCGGGATTACTGGCACTCTTCTTACGGTATGGCAAAAGATATGTGATAAGAAACGATGTGCAGTCGAGTACGTCGACTCTTCTCGTGACTACTCTCTCTCATAGCAGTGCCAACTTTTTTACTCTTACTCCTCTATGAGATTGTGCTCGAGCCCCCACATCCTCTACGAGTAGGCTCTCACAATATTGTTGCGTGTTCGTGTAGCCCAATGAAAGAAAGCGAACGTCATGCCTCTAACAATCCCCCCGCCATTTCCGCCGAAAACCTGCAGCATTTTCGAATTATTCAACGTGCAGATGGCTTCAACACGCCAATTGCATGCCAATCATCCCCCTCTTCGCTTACATCTCAACACATGTGGGCATTGCTCTCGTGATCATCCTTAGTCCCCCTGACCAAGTCCTTTTCTTTTCTTTTCTTTCTTTCAAGCTTTGGGCATGGAAAGCCCCGTCTGAAGATTATTCGAAATACTACCTTTCCAGAAAATCACAACGGTCTACCTCAACCTCGCTTGTCTATAATATTCAAGGGTATTCAGGAGCGTGTGGGGTCGAGTTGGTAGGAAAATGGACCGAAATGGCCTGCGAGAACGAAGGCCAAAGGAGCCCAAGGAGGATCACAACGATAACATACAGCCAAACTGGGAAGAAGGAAAGAGTGAGAAAACGTGTGGCAGAACTCCAGATGGAACGGGTGAGTCAATCATATAGTCATTTAATCACAGGCATGTCGAGCTTGTCCATCGCTTTGTTACAGGAAAGACGAGCCAGAGCATAGGGCCCTTGGCCTGAGCCCAGAACTTGTGTTCCCTTGAGAACAAGCTTCACAATGGCTGACATCAAATTGCAATAGTATTCACGGTCCCTCAGACTCATGATATGGTATCCCAGCTCCTCTCGCCCAGCCAACCGAAAAACGTCTCAGACCTCATAGTCCTTGCTGTCTTAGGCATACACATTGCAACACTTTTTGTCCTACCGGACTCTCTTCGAATACCAGTTTTTGCGGTCGTCTTCCTCTTTTGGCGAGCATGCTACAATGTCGGCATAGGCTATCTACTACATATTCAATCGCGCCACTTGAGGCTGGTGGCCTGGGCAAAAAGATCGAAGATATTTGTCGATCCCAAGACTGGGGGGAATCCACATCCAATGCTGTACCGTATTTTGAAGCGGGAGATGGAAACCAAGATACCCCAGGATTACAAGTTCGAGGATGCGCCCATCGAATATAATACCTGGCTTGTCTTTCGGCGTGTGGTCGACCTCATTCTAATGTGCGACTTCGTATCTTATGTCCTATTTGCCATTGCATGTGGTGGCCGACCTGCTGACGAAGGTATGGCACTTACTTTCCTACGCTGGGCTACCGGCTGGGGGTTATTTGGCTTCAATCTTTGGGTTAAGCTTGATGCTCATCGAGTCGTCAAAGACTATGCCTGGTACTGGGGAGACTTTTTCTATCTGATTGATCAGGAATTGACATTTGATGGTGTCTTCGAGATGGCTCCTCATCCCATGTACTCAGTCGGATACGCTGGTTACTACGGTATTTCACTCATCGCGGCCAGCTACAAGGTCCTCTTCATATCCATCGTTGCCCATGCTGCTCAGTTCGCATTCCTAGTATGGATAGAAAACCCTCATATTGAGAAGACGTACAATTCTCCCCCTTCCAGGAGACTCCAATCTGAATCTCAGTCGGAGGTTGAGCATGACGATAGTCAATCTACGGACGTTGATCGCGGCTACAATGCGCCACGGCTAGCCTCTACGAACCAGCCCTCACCGGTGCACAATCTCATCGGGCTCAAGAACATTGACCTACACCGAGTGACCGATACCTCGGTCATTCTCCTACAGATATACATCTTCGTCTTGGTGGTCTTGACACCGTCAACTCCGTTCTACCAAGGATTATTTGTCATCAATGCAGCACTGTGGCGTCTGTGGTATTCGATGGGTGTGGGATATCTACTCAACCGACAGTCATCCAAGAAACGATGGACACGTCATTTCCTCAAATATGGTGAGAGCACCGAAGAAGCCTGGCGCCAATGGAAAGGAATATATCATCTCTCCATGACATTGTCCTATGCAAGCTTCGTAGCGGCATCGTGGAAGATGTACTCACTCCCGCAAGATTGGGAGCATGGGCTGGTCCTTCTGAAGCATGTGGTGGGTATTAGCTTGGTGGCGTTACAAATTTGGACGGCAGTCAGTATCTACGATTCACTGGGCGAGTTCGGCTGGTTCTTCGGAGATTTCTTTTTCGATCACTCTCCGAAGTTGACATACAGTGGCATATACCGCTTCCTCAACAATCCCGAACGAGTGATAGGACTAGCCGGTGTCTGGGGTGCAGCGCTAATTACCAGGAGCAGCGCAATCTTCTTTCTCGCGTTGCTCAGCCATGTCTTAACCCTTGCATTCATCCAGCTTGTCGAGCGGCCACACATGCAAAAGCTGTACGGTCAGAGCCTGCGGCGGGAATCTGGTCTGGTCAAGAGCCTGAAGCGATCGCTCCCCCCACATCTGTTTCAGTGGCGAGGCAGTGTCGACAAACTCCTGGAAGGAACAATCGATTCATTCGAAGACTTTATCGATGCTGCTCGTCCCAAGATTGCAGCAGGCGTGAGCCTTTTCGTGAAGGACTCAACAGCTTTACTCAAACATCCCACACGCATCAGCATCACCAGAGTAGCGCCAGATCTCGCTGGTTATGACCCAAATGAATACTCATTGGAGGTCGAAGGCACGCCCTCAACATCCTGTGCGACGTACACAAGCGGGAAACAAAATCAGGCAAGACCCGAACAGCGCTCGTCGTTCAAGACTTTGAGCTTTGAATATGGTGCACCAATCAAAGTGCGATGGACGGCGCCCTTGAATCACAGCAAGAAGGACTGGGTAGGCCTGTACATGGTTGCAGATCACGCTTCGCGGGATGCTACTCGGGTCTCTTCCCAAGGCCGATGGGTGGCAACCAATCAAGATCAGTACGGTTCCATTATCTCAGATCGCGGCATCCTCGTAAGCGATATCCGAGTATCGGGGGCCGGACGTAAAGATGGGGAGACCAAAGATTATCTTTCGGGCGAGATGGAATTTTCAGGGGACAAGCTGTGGTGGACAACAGGGGTCTTCGAGTTCAGATATCATCACAACGGAAAGCACAACGTTATGGCCATCTCACTACCATTCGAGACTAGGATCAACAAATTTGATGAGGACGACGTCGAAGTCGATGCAAATGGATCGATTCGCGGTGCTGTGGAGGACGCTTTGTTGCAGCTGATAAGAAACTGTCTTGATAGAGATCCAGATATTGCACCTTCTACTGTGGACGAGACCTTCGGCGGTCAGGTAGAGAGGGACGGGAAGTTTGCAAAGAGAGTGGTCTTTGCGGTGCACCAGATGTAAGTCGCTCTTGGCCCTCGATAAATGCTGCAAGCCAAATACTGATGAACATACAGGTTCGGGATAGAATTTGCACCTGAGGTCGTCCAAGCCGACGGCAACGTCCGCAATCTGTCGTGGCGAGTCTGCAACGCCAAAAAGGTTTTGGTCAGTAATCTGTAGCACTACCACCAGCTTTTGCCTCGTATGTGGTTGGCTGACAACAAATGGATCAGGAACCTTACATGTCCATATCTCATGGCAAAAGTACGCCCACAGAGTCAGGGTATTAGTCTTGCCGCTCTTGTTGCCTTCGAATTCGTCTGCTGTTGACACCAGACGGTGGTACAAACAATGGCTTGGTCGCGAAGTATATAGATCCGTCGAAATGCATCGTACATACCCACCAAAGCTTGTTAGTTCAGGTCTCAGCTAGCGATGTTGAACAAAAGATGATGGAAATATCCATATCCTGTTTGTCTCCTTTGCGATCAGATTAGATCGTTGCGTGAGAGATTATAATCTTTCAATGAAAAGAACTGCAGTCTGCATGCAAGTGATACACCCTCAAACGCGTTAGACCTCGGAACCCAAGACAAGGATACCGTTTACATTGGTTCGATCTTGCAAAGTCCGATGCTAGCTATGTTAGACCTAGGTACAACAACTTGAAATGGGCTCTGGAGGTCCGGGAAGATCCAATATCCTGGCCGTGTGTAGAACCCATAAGTGAATGCCAAGAAACCCAGGATTTTACACGCCTTTTGACCAGGACATAGGCTACATAGTGAGTGTGAGCTGGAATTTGCTTCCTTCTTTACCGGTGACCTCCGTCGAGTGACCTCCTTGATCGAAAAAACGCAAAGATCTCTTACCAAGCCCATACAATGGACAGTTCCTGGACTCTGGGCCCGCCAATTCATGTCCACGCTGCAAACGAAAGACAGCTCAAGCGATCATTATGGATCCTGGAGCGCCGTCATAGATGCCGTCCAGTCCAGGCTACCAAAGCTGCAAGTACTTTATGAATGCGGTTCGTATTCAGACAATGAGCATCTTCTGGGACCTAATCCTAACCACTTAGGGTACATAGAAGAAGAACTTCCATCCGACAGACCTCGCGGTTGAGGAGTTTACCCATGGCTTCTATGCATTCTTCAAGCCCAATGCCAATGGCGTAGTGTCAGTCCAATCGTGACAGGAAACGGGGGCCCTGTATCGTCCGATATTGGAGCAGACCGTCCTCATAGCTCGTCCATCGACCCATTCGATGATTGCGAAAAGCCTTTTCCTGATAATTCAGCGGATGAAGATGGAGAGTCCAAATTACATGAATGTGTCATGCAGTTTTCGGAGCTTAAAGACCACACAGAGGTATGAAAATTTGTTCTGGCGATTGATGGATTAGGAGAAAATACCTGTCCGCGTCCTCGGCTGGCAGAGCAAATTTTGTGAAGAGCTCCCTCACTATCATCAAGGATTGCGGATTGTATCGGTTGGACATTCATCGGGAAGGGCCCAAGAATGTTTCAGAATCCAGCAACTACACTATTCTCTTTGGTGAAGTTCGAGGCGCCTTTAGATGGTCTCTTTCTATTGCGGGTCCCGTGGCAATAGAACGGTACAACGTACTAGATCTTGAAGGAACGGATGGATGGATACATTGGTACCTGGACAATCACTGTCATTTCCTGCTGAGATGTGTTCGCTTGGTAGAAATTCATGCATGTACCTGTCCGTAGATCATAGAATTAAATTTATGAATTGCAAATTAAATAAGAATGCTTGGTAAAACTAACCTAGCTCCGCCTCCGACTTTTTATTAGCGTTTATTAAAAAAAAATTAAAAAAAAAGTATTTACTACTCTTATAATAGCTATTATTATTTATTATTTTAATTAAATATTCGCGATATCGAAGCTAGTAAATATATACGCTTTTTCTAATATTTTACTTTAATTCTTACTTTAAACGCGATATTATTATTTAAAAAGAATTTCTCTATATATTAGCGTATTTAACTCTTACTTAAATTCTATTAATAATTTAAAGTCGTAGCTACGAATATTTATTTTAATATATTAATAGCGTATTAATAAGAGCGAAACCTTGCTATCTATAATAATATCGTAATTTCTTATAATAGATATATTTATATATAAGAGCGATATCGTAGCCTCTTATCTATTATTTTAAACGCTTTTCTTAACTATTAGCGTTAAAAGTCGTAATTATATTAAGATAAATTAACGCGATTCTTAAAAGAGAAGTAAAATATTAAGGTTTATAAGTCTATCGTTTATAAAATTCTAAAATAGACTAGAATTATATATAAGAAGAATTAAAGGATTGATTCTTAAAGTAATATACTTCGTATTATATAGTAAACGTTTATGAATTAGATTAAAACGGAGTAGCTAATCTTTATTAATAAGTTATTATTTAAGCTATAAACGATATAACGATTTATAGCCTATACTTCTATCGATAATTCTATTCGATATTATAATAATATAAGATAAGATAATACTTTTAATATTCTATCTATATATATTACTACTAGCTATCTATTCTATATTAAAATTAAGAAAAGCTATTATAATAAGAAAGATATTCTCGACTAGCTAATTAATCGATTATTATTTCTTTATAATAAGTATCTTAAGAAGCGTAGTATTATTATTCTAAATAACGTTAGCGTTTATATCGATTCTTATATTATTAAGATTATATAGACTAAAGACTATCTTATTAAATATCTCCCTTTATACTCGCTTAATTATAATTCTATTAAATTAATATTTAATATTCTTAAGACGTAGATATAACGTTATTTTAAGATCTTTCGATATATCTTTTAGAATAACTTTAAAGAATTTTTAAAGTATATAATTAATATTAATAATTATAATAGATTTATAATAGAGTATTTTAAATAGAGTATTATAAACTATATATTTAATAATAAAATTAAAATATTTAAATAAGATTTAAAGTATTTAACTATAGAGATCGCGGAGTAATTATAATAAAATACTATATAATATTAATTAAATTCCTTACTTTATCTCTATCTTTATTTTAATTATTCTAGAGTATAGATATACTAATAAATCTCCCTTTTTTAAAATTTTAAAAATAAAAAATTTTTTTTTTAATTCTTGAAAAAGACTATATAATAGATCTTTACTTATTATATATTTATAGATATCGATAAACGCGTTAGATAGAGCTTTTATATTATTTATATTCTATATCTATTATTTAATAAACGCCTAAATCTAATAGATCTAGAGTTTTCTCGCCACTTTATTTATATTCTTCTTCTTTTACTACTAAAAGCGCTTAATAATATTCTTCTTTTTAATATGTATATCGATAAAACTTAATCAGTATTATAAAGGGGGGTTTTTTTTTTTTTGTATTTTTTTTTGAGAAAAAAAGAAAAATATTTTGTTTTCGATATAGGGGGAGAAATAATTAATTCGTTTTTTTTTCTTCTTCGAGAAACCTTACTAGCGTGACTTAATATATCGCTTTCTTTTCTTTCTTCGAGAACGTTTATAGCTTTAACTTATTTATTATTTAATTATAATTAAAATTAAGAAATATCTTTTTTTTCTTTATAAAAATCAATTTCTTTTAGAAATATATATATATATTTTTATATAGTATTCTTAATAAATAATAATAATACGCGACTTTTCTATATTCTTTAATTATTATTCTTATTATTTTTCGTATTAGAGATACTATTCTTATATTAAAAAGTTTTACATTTATTATTTTTTTAAAGAAAGGATCTTTTTTAAAAGGAAGGATCGCTATAAGAGTTATTTACTTTTCCCTACTTTTTTAAATAGCTTTTCTTCTCTTAAAAGAAACTTATCTTTTATTTTTAATACTTTTCTTTCTTCTTAATAAATCTTTCTTTTTATATTCTCTCTATATCTTTTTATAATAGAATATAATTATTTATAATTAACGAAGTTAGAAAATCTATTCTAATAAAATTAATAATTTTATTTATCTTTTAATTTTAAGCTTTCTTAATAAAAAATTCTAAACTTTATAAGTAGATTCTTAATAAGAATTATTATTAGATTATTAAATCGATTATATAGATTTATAATCTATTTATCGACGTTCTACGTAATTAAAATTTATATATTTAATAAGATTAATTTTAAAGTATTAATTTAGTCTCTTCTTCGAAGATTACTCGATTAGAGAAACCTCTAATTTATTCTTTTTTTAAAATTATAATTTTAAATTTATAAGTACTCTAATAAGAGTAGTTACTATCTTTATATAAGAAGTTTATTATTATATAAATAGTAATTATTTTCTTATTTAATAAGTTAGAATAACTTAATTTAAATTTAAGAATATCTTTATTTTTAAAAATTTAAATCTTAATTTAAAAGATTATATAGATATCTTTCTAGAGTTGTTATCTTTTTTTTAAGATATCTAATTTAATCTTTTTATTTTAATAATAGAACTTTTTTTAAACTTAATAAAGATAAAGAAAAAAGATTTACTAATTTTTTATTATTATTATTTATAAATCTTACACGAAGATCTTAATCTCTTTATCGATTTTAGTTTTTATCTTTCTTCTTATCGCTTTTAAATTCTATATTAAAAATAAATTAAACTTTAAAAAAATTAAGTATATTAAATTTCTAAAATCTCTATATAGCTATAAACTTAATAAGTAAGATTCTCTTTTTATTAAGCTTAGTTACATTTAATAAGATATCGAGAAATAATAATAAAAAATATCGAAATTTCTTAAGTATAGAATTTTCTAATAATAAATTTAATAAATTAGTTTTTAATTAGTTAGAAGCTTTTAATTTAGAAAATATTACTTCGAGATCTAATTCTAGCGAAAATTAGCTTTTATAAAATTAAGAAAGTTCTTAATAAATATTATTTTTATTTATAAAAGTAAATTTAATAATATAATAGATTATATTATAAGCTATATAAGTAACTTTAAAAAATTTATAATTCTTTTTTAATATTATAGATTTAATAGGTTTATAAGATTTTTTAGAATCTTTTAAATAAGCTACTTCGAGAGAATCTAATAATAATTTTTATATCTTTAATCTAAGATTCTTTTATTTAGATTTAAAAGAATTATATAATATTAATAATATTATTTTTAATAATAAAGAAATTATATATCGAAAAGTATATTCTTTTTATTAATATATAAAAGATTACGTTATAATTAAAAAAGAGAATATTATATATATAAATCTCTTAATTTATTTTTAAG